AAGTAAACATGCAGAAAAAGTGAAAAATTCTAACAGAAAAAAAAGACATGTGACTTTATGTGTCATAAAATCACATGTTAAGATTCAACTTTGCAAAATAAATTACCAAATAAAAGTCCAAGACAATAAACAGCTTTAGTCTGAGGAAGGTCTTGATTAAACAGACTTTTTAAACTATGAAGATTGATCAAAGCAGCCCTTTCTCTGCTTATAAATCCTCCATCAGTCACTGGGATTTCCAAAACCAACATCAAAACCCTGAAATATAAAATCAAATTAATCTATGTTAAATTAAGTATGTTGGGAGCACAGCAGCACTTAGAAAAGGCCAAGGAGACACAACTCCGCTAAAACAAACCCTCTCTGATTTTAACCCGTCTCTGAACATGAGAAATAATTAATTTACAGAATAATTTATTGCAAATGTACATTTAATTTCATGATTTTAAAAGTGTGTAGCTAATTTATAGCAAACTGTCACACACTGAGATACATACAACCATAAAATGTAGCATCAATTAAATCTATATTAAAATAATAAAGTGTTGCTATCTGTTCATTTTTGAAAAATATTCACATTTTGTTAGTGGATTCTCAAAACCAGCCACCTACTCGAGCTGAACACGTTCATTCACACAATCAACCCTCTTCACTGCAAAATGACGCTTGTTCTGGAAATTCAACATCAGAGGGTTTCAACAGACATTTATACAAAACTGCCATTTGAATTTTCTAAACCCCAGATTTAAATTGAATCGTTTGTGTCATTTTGCAAATACAGCAACTACCGTTTGCACGATGAGTATAAATGGCGTGAAAAAACCAAAAAACTGTACATGACAAGTTACCCAGTTGTAACGCAGTCGCTGACGGATCATAAATTAAGAAGACGTGAAAGTGACGACTGTTTTTTTTACATTCACTTGGGGTCTTCGATGGCGCCGGTGCTGAGGTCCGTCATTTTAGGATATTTAACCTTCTTCTGGTCCAACTCGTTTTGAGCCCACAGCAGTAACTTCAGGAGTTTAGCCAGTTTAGGGGTCGACTCCCTGTTTTCGTAGTCCAGCACGGCTTGGTTTACCTCGCTCCACACCTGCGTGACAAAACAGAAAACCTTTGTTCGTTTTTATGCCGAATTCTGTTTTTATTATCCTTGTGCTCACTACGTTATAAAGGAGCAATTAAAAAATACGACTGCACAAATCCAAAATGGGAAATAAAATAAAATCATGGAAATTTGTTAAATTCCAAACAAAAATGTTGCCTGCTTTTACAACTTTTTAAGATGTTATTATGTTTAGACTTTCATTTTATTTTTGTTTTAATATATTAGACAAAAAAAAACCTGAAGAATTCTGAAGAGGAAGAAAAATAATTTCCTGCCCTTCTATGTTAAATATTCCATTAGATGTATTATCTATTGATACTGATCATGCCCATTGCGATATACAGCTCTGGGAAAATTAAAGAGACCATATAAAATGATTTATTTCTCTGATTTTACTCTTTATAAGTATGTGTTTGAGTAAAATGGACATTGGTATTTTATTCTATGGATTACTGACAACATGACTCTGAAATTCCAAGCAAAAACTTAGTATTTATTTGCAGATATTGAGAAATGGTCAAAATAACAAAAAAGATGCAGTGTTTTCAGACCTCAAATAATGTAAAGAAAACAAGTTAATATTTATTTATAAACAGTAATGTTTTAACTCTGGGAGATTTCAGAAAGGAATATTTGGAGGAATAACCAGGTTTTCAATGCAGTGGGCTCTTAATTTTTTCCAGAGCTTTGTATTGTCATTGATTTATTGTCCAGCCCTACTTCTAACTACAACAGTTTGCAACCAGGCATAGTGAGAACAACCTTTTGCCGCTGCATCATGTTGAGCAGGTCTCCGAAGGGCGACTCCTCTGGGTTGTCGAAGGCCAGAAGGGCGAGCGTTCGCTCCATCTCTGTCAGACACTCTCGGCTCTCTTCCCCCTGTTCTGCGAGCTGCGTCTGAGCAAACTCCAGGGCCGACTCGGTCTCTCTTAGCCTGATTAGCTCAATCAAATGTTGCTGCTGCAAGAAAGAAATAAAGGATGAAAAGTTAATGTACAAGTAATACGTTGTTTTCTTACATGCTTTTTTTTTTCCACCAAACTAAAACATTATCACTAACTTTGGGAAATACCACAGTTACATATTACGTTTACATCAACTGATGAGTGTAAATGGTTGGGTGCAACCTTACCTGTAGATGGAAATACAAGTATCGGTTTGTGTCCAGTAACTCTGGGTGAAGGCTGTTGATGAGCGCGATCGCTTCCTGGATCTGTCCCTTCAGGATCATCTCTCTAATCTTAATTCTTTCATCCAAGGAGTCCAAATCCACACTGGGCTCAATTCCTGACTCCATCCGAAACTTTTCCGCTGCCTCTTTGAAGCCCTCTTCATGGATACACAGGATAGATGCAAATTAGTTTATAAATAATACACCCCATTAACCTAAAATATCACTACAAAGTTTATTTCTTTTAGTTCAAATAAAATATCAAAACTTGTAATATTCACACAACATGGCATACATCAATCAATGTGATTGTTTTTGCCCATGTTCAACAGTATTTTTGCCCAACAGTAAATATTGCTCTGATGACATCAAGTATGATATTTGCCAGTTCTCTTCTTTTTATAATTTTTCATCACTTGTAACCTTCAGCATTTTGGGCAACATCATTTGTGCCCAGTATGAGAATCTGCTGCCACGACACCCTGCCCATCTGACAAAACATTACTGCAAAAGCAGGGAAAATGCAAGTTCATAACCTGAAATATGATAAAAACAATTGTTGCACTCTTAGCAGTCCTTTGCAATACAAATATTGTGCACATAGATATTACAATGATGACATATTCTCAATACAAAGGGTAGCCCTACTGGACATTTAAAGCTGCAAGAATACATTTATATTTTTAAGTAAACTACTAAAATAAATAAAGTTTGGATCATATTCAGATCAGATTTTTTAGATGCACTGGGATAAGCTAAATATTCAGGTAACAGTCACTGTTTTCTAGAGAAATGTCTCACCTGTCACCAAGTAATTCATGATGAGTCTATTCATGTCCGCCCTCTGAATGTGAACATTGTTTAATTTGTCCATCCACTCCTCTTTTGTTATGTCCTCTGGCTTTTCAGCATAACTCATCATTGGGAACCTGAAGAAGAGGCGAAACATGAGCAAGACTGACACAGCTTGGTCAAACTGTGGATCTGCAAGAACTGCTGCGTGTCAACAACTAATTAATTAGAAAATAAACACAGACAGACGAATCAAACATGACAGTCTGAAACACTGCAGGCAAATAAAAAAATACCTACGCGACTCGAATCATGATTAAACAACTGCAAGCATCATCAAAAACAAACCGGGGCGATCAAAACAAACCCGCTTCCTCCACAGCATTAGCCGCAGCTAGTTAGCATACTGTACGCGTTCTCACAATTTACCGTCAATTTCAAGGTCCGCTGAGTTTCCTTTCACACCGGGAGAAGAAACAATTAATAAATCAACCACGTGAAGTCGTCTTGGTGCTTCTGGAAGAATAAAAAAAATAGCCAGGCGCCTGTACAGAATCCAGCTTCGACCGCTACCTCACCGAACGAGGATAATTTGATAACCTCGCGATAGGTGTGTGAGGGGGCTTGCGAAGCCTCCTATTGGTTGTGGCTGTGACGTCACGGTTGCTGAGGGACAGCGACTTCATCTCATGAGAACGTTTACACAGCTTTTGTAGTCACTAAATGTATGCTTGTTTCATAGTACACACTACAAACCGTGTTTTCATATTTATTAATATTTTTTGCACTTATACATTTATTCAATTCAAAATTAAACTTAAATTAAAATTAAAAAATGGAAATTAGATGCTAATGTTGTCTAAATGATGTCTAGCTAATGCCAATAAATCACATTAATCTTGTTAACAAGAATAGGCTACTAATATTGTTGTTATCTATGTTCAAACGTGGGTTGTATGGTTGCATTTACTAGACTAACTTTTTTTTTGGGGGGGGGAAAGTAGTTTTACTATACTGTACTTTTTTTTTACTTGAGTAATATTCTCTTACTTGAGTAGATTGATTTTGCATTCAAAGAAATAGGCTTGGGAGATGGGAACCTTTAATTTCTGTAACAAATGAGTTGTTAATGCAAATTTCAGCACAATTATTCAACATGAAACATGTCGCTATTTATATCCTTATTTTTTGTACTAATAAACATGGTTATTTTATTTGAAATGCTACATAAATATTTGTTTATCACAGTAAAAGCTTATTTAGTCTGCCCCCCGGCTAAACTGTTCTGGAGCCAGGGCTGGCTGGAGAAACTGGAAGGTTTGGAAGTAGGGTTGTAATTAGGGTTTGAAAGGAGGCTGAATAAAAATGGTTAAATTTAGGGTTGTGAGGAGGGTAATCCTAACCCTATTTCCAACTCCTATTGAAACCCTAGTTTCAATTTGGGTTGGAAACCTGATTTCCAACCCAAAATGGAATTAGGGTAAGAGCTAGTGGGCCATTGTTTTGTTATGTTTTGTTTTCTGAAGAAGAAATACAAACAAAAACTTGAACATGAATTTTAAGAAATTATTATTGTGAATGTTGTAGGCATTCACCCTAGGACCTACACTTCACCCTGGTTACTCATGTAAATGTAACTGAGTAAATGTAACTAGATACTACCCACTCTGATAATCCATCCATCCATCCATCCATCCATCCATCCATCCATCCATCCATCCATCCATCCATCCATCCATCCATCCATCCATCCATCCATCCATCCATCCATCCGGAATGTGATTATAATATAATATAATATATAATATAATATAATATAATATAATATAATATAATATAATATAATATAATATATTATTAATGACAGGTTTCTTCACCGCGCGCTCTCTACGTCATCATTTCGTCAGTGCACGCGCACGTCGGGTCCTCCGTGGGGTACCAGGGGGCGGAGCCAGCGGGCTGCTGCAGCTGTCCATGGTCGCATAGTGAGAGCCAGAGAGGGTCCGGGTACGTGCGAGATGCGGCCATAGTCACGCTGCACCGCCTCACATCAGAACCCGTCCGGATCGGTTTTCCTATTGAGCAACAGAGCCGACTGAAAGGTGAGGATTCCCTCCGCTGCATTTTCTCTTCCTTCTTTTCCCTTTGACGCTGCCTCTTGCCCTTGAACAAAAAACGACGATGCATCCCTGGCCGAGGATCCAGAGCAGGCCCCATGCAGGAAGCGAACCAACATGGATGCTGCGCGCAAGAGGCAGTGCAGCTGATGATGCTCGACCAGAGATTACGCTCCCGGGATTGAACTCGTAATTTCTAATCTTTCCTACAGACATTTTACGTTCGGGGATGAGAATCGTAGAGGGCGGATATTTGAAAGCCACCTCTTAGATGAATTAGATTTCCGTGAAAATGTGACAATAAAACGAGAAGGGCTTCAAATCCAGAGCAGAGGCTCTTCATTTGGGTCGAACTGACACCCATTTGGACCATCCTGGTTCTTGAGAATGATTCAATAAATAAAATTTATACTATGTAGAATCTTTTTTATTATTATTATTATGTATCCCGCTGTGCTGTAGCTGTTCAGCCTGCAGGGATGTCAGCTTGTAATTTACTAAAAGCAGTGGACCTGCCAAGCTGCAATGCTGTCAGTAATCAGCAAGAACAGTGAAATACCCAAAGAGAAAACAGATAAATGCAGGTGAAACAAATTAGTTCGTCATTTGGACCTGCATAGATTTGATTTCTCTGTAAAAATGCATGAGTGTTTATAGAACTAGGTGTTCTCTGATGCCCTCAGCCTCAAATGCCTCTTTATGATTGTCATGATTTAAAAAACAAATAGCAGTGAAAGAAGTTATATATATTTATATAGATATATATAAAATTTTTTTTTCATATTTTATGACTGGTTGACAGGGTTTAAAAATGAAATATCAGATTTTTTCCTACAGTGTAGGTTTCAAATTATAACAGATTTTTCTTTTTTGCTTAATTTATTTTCTACAACAGAGGATTCGGGCCATTACAAAAATAAATAATAAAATAAAATTAAGTCGGACAAGAACAAAGTCATAATATTATGGAAATAGGAAATAAAGTCATAATATTTTTATTTATTTATGGGCCATTGTTTTATGAGAATAAAGTCAGAATATTAGCAGAAAAAAAAAACACAAATTCACTTGAAAATATGTCTTAAAATTGCAAGAAAAAATTTGTTTTAATGTGAAAAAGAGTATTCAGGATCTGACATGACCGGCTCAGTTCATGTAGATTTTTCTTCTGAACAGACTCAGGTATTTTCACAATAACATTAAAGTCATGTCATGAACAATAATTTCATGCTGATGTGTTAAAAGAGTAAAGTATTACTTATCGCCCGGCCTTAGTAGCAGTGCTTTTCTCTGCTGTTGTCACTTTGTGCAGCCTGTGAGGCATCATGGCTGAGCAGCAGAGGCAGCGCTCTCTGTCCACCGCCGGGGAGTCTCTCTACCACGTCCTGGGGGTCGACAAGGTGGCCACATCGGACGACATCAAGAGGTCCTACAGGTGAAGCTGACCGCTGTGATTTACCGTCAGACGAATTCAATCCCCTCTGCCATGTCTAACCTGCCTTCTGCAACAGGAAACTGGCGCTAAAGTTTCACCCTGACAAGAACCCAGACAATCCGGAGGCATCGGAAAAATTCAAAGAGATAAACAACGCCCATGCCATCCTGAATGACCCCACGAAGCGTAATATTTATGATAAATATGGCTCTCTGGGACTGTATGTGGCTGAGCAGTTTGGGGAGGAGAACGTTAACACTTACTTTGTCCTTTCAAGCTGGTGGGCAAAGGTAAGATGTGAAAAAAACATTTTTTAATCATAAAAGGCGCATTTTAATAAATCCACACCGATACTGTAGTAATTCAATTCAAAATGTGAAATACATGCAAGAAATTACAGTGATGTGACCCATTGGGTTTTATCTGTTAATTTTGATGATTATGGGCAAATCATGGCTAATAAAAACCTGAAATTCATTTTCTCAGAAAATCGAAACAATACTTGACAATTGTTTATCAAACTTCCACTTAGGATATATGAGAAAAGGAACTAAAGGAGCTAACTGCTTACGGAGAGTTGTTTCCACTAATTCAATGAAAAACTTAGTGGAAGGAAAAAATGTGGGAAGAATGAAGCAAGAATTCACAGTTTTACACTTCTACTTGAGTCTCAACTGACTAATAGCATCCCATGAGCTTAAAAAAACACCCTGCCATTTTTTTGTCTGTAAGTTAATGTCTTTGGGTGCATGGAAACTGAGCCATTTCAAAAGTCTTCCCAATGTAACAAATCAGCAGGCTCTGACCTTCACCTCGTTACCACAGCAAAGCTCAAGCATATTTAGTAGTTCTTTACTTTAAATTATAATCTTCAAACTTAATATTAACACTTGGAATGTTTCACTCTGTGTTTCAAATAACTTAAAATATAAATTGTTCATTTTTTTAAGGGAATTACTGAAGTAAATAATCTTTTTGATGGTCTGTTTTTTTAGATGGATCTTCTGGTTTTATTTTGTCTGACCTGTTTGTCTGCAGGCTCTGTTTGTATTCTGTGGCCTGGCCACTGGATGCTACTTCTGCTGCTGCCTGTGCTGCTGCTGTAACTGCTGCTGTGGACGATGTAAACCTCGGCCTCGGGAGGGCCAGGAGCAGGACTTCTACGTGTCCCCGGAGGACCTGGAGGCTCAGCTGCAGTCTGACGAGAGAGGTGAGGCCCGAATAACCAACATTTAAGGGTTAAAATTCACATGTCTTTCAGCTTTTTGGAGTCCATTTGAGCATAAAGACTCAAATGCTTCTAAAAACAGTCCAAATACTTAAAAACAAAAATTTTTTGGCAATAAGTTCATGTTTTTTCTTTGGTGTCAGGAAAAGAAGCTGTTTAAAAAAAAAACTCCCAATTGTTGAGTCTTGTTGGTTTTGCAGGAGGCTCCACTAATGCTTTTCTAAGATGTACAGTTGCATAATAGCGCATGTGTTTGCAGTCCTTTTAGGATCAAAAACAACGTATTCTGAAAGGAGCTCAAAATGTACTAAATGATCATTACATAAGAATGATTTTGTGCACAAAATGTATTGAACATGTTTTGTGTAGCCCAGGGTGACCAAAGTCGGTCCTCTCGGCCCGGCAGCCTGCATGTTTCAGTTCTCTCCCTGCCGGTAGTAACAAGCTTTTCAGCATGTCAGTGTTCTTCTTAGGGTTTCTAACGAGCCATTATTGGATCCAAGTGCGTTAAGCCAGGGAGAGAACTAAAACATGCAGGATGCCGGCGCTCCAGGACCGACTTTGGGCACCAATGGTGGTCCGTAGACCTATCCTAACCTGTTTAATGATACATCGCCAGTCACCTTTAAATACTCTGTTGGGATTGGAGCAGCCAGGTATACATAGTTCCCATGTTGCATCACACTTCCATGAACTTTGTAACTAACAACCATCTTAGTTGCCAGTTGCTATGGAGTTGCTATGACAACCTTAGATCTAGCTGTCACCTGGTTTCTATTTAAGTTACACCAGTGCTTCTCAAATAGTGGGGCGGGCCCCCTTTGGGGGGCGCGGTGCGATACCTGGGGGGGTGTGATCCTGGGAACAGGCTTTTTTTTGGCAGTACTAGTATAAAGTGTAATTGCGCACAGTAGGCGGCAGTGGCGCTCTCATTGTTACTTCTGTCACGTTTGCGACAGTGCAACATTTTACGACTTACAAGACAACAGGTTTGCCTTGGTTGGCAGTGTTAAGTCAACAAAAAGCTCCGACTGCGTTCTGTCTATGGCCTCCGTTATTCAACAACCCCCAACATGAAAAAGTTTTTCACAGGGATGAAAAGAAAAGCGGAGAGACAAAGATAATGAGACAACAGAAAGTCAACCGAAAGCTAAGAAGAGGAATACGACGAAGCGTATTTAGCGCTTGGCTTCACTGTGACTACAGTTGGAGAAGAGGAAAGACCGGTGTGTTTGCTGTGTCTAAAAATGCTCGCAGCGGACAGCATGAAGCCAAATAAATTAGCGCGTCACTTAAATACGTTACATCCCAATCACGCCGATAAGCCGCTAGAGTTTTTTCAGCGAAAAAAATGTTAAGGAAAAATGTTATGCAGAGATGGATAGTCACGGTGGGGAGTGGGGGGCGCGAATAGTTTTTCTTCTTGCTAGGGGGGCGTAACGGAAAATAATTGAGAAGCACTGAGTTACACAAAGTTCTCCAGTGACGTCAATTCTGTAGCTAATAGCCATCGTGGTAGGAAGTGCTCATTGGTCCAGAATGTTAATATATTTTCATTTTCTTGGTCTCGAAGTCATCTGTGCTTTGCACTGTGTTTGCCTACCAAGATGGCGTGGATCACCTCCGGTTCAGACTTGTGGGATCTGTGTGTTGAAATGAAGTTTCTGTTTCTCAAACAGAGGCTGCTGGGGAGCCAATAGTGCTGCAGCCGTCGGCAACAGAGACGACTCAGCTAACATCGGATGGGCACTACTCCTACCACACTGACACCGGCTTCAACTAACCCCTCCGCTCCCGTCAGTCCCAGAACGGGATCCTGCCTGCTTCCCTGCTCCACCTCCGTGAGATGAAAGAAAAAGGCAAACCTATCCTTCCACGTCAGAAGAGCCATGCAGAGGAGAGTGGACTTGTCAGCATGGCCTTTCAAATGAACTATTGAAGTCACATCCACTCCCCTCCTTCCCTCCTCATGCTTTCCCCTCGTGCAAGAAGGAAAGAGAAACAACCACACTGTTTCCCTTTGGGTTCTTCTTCTGCACTTTTACCACACAGGTCCCCGTCCCCTCCGTTTCCCATCGTTTGCATCATGGTGTAGCATGCACTGTGTCGAAAACATTGTCCCTACAATTTCTTTCTGCCTTGGCAATAGTTTTACTTATTAGCAAGACTCATAACAAATGTGCAGTGATGTTAAAACGAGCACAGCTCACCAGGAGGAGGAGAAGGAGGTAAAGTTTACGAGATATTTTCTGCTGAAGGAGCGGAGAGCCGCGGCTCATCAGGGATGGTTGGAAACATGCAGGAAGGTTCGGGCAGTCAGTGCCATCATTAAACGTTAGAGGACACGTTTGTCCCCACATTTGCACTTTTCACTTCTAATTTGAGATCGATTTTGTTTTCGGCACAAAGAGCTCTGACACTGTTTTCTGTTTGTCTCTTCTGTGTTCCTTCCTGAGTGGTTTGGATCCAGTTTTGTTCGTGGATAGGCGTTCATAAATACCAGTTTTGCTTCATATCCATTGCTTTCTGCGCCTCACTGCAGCAGGTATTGTGATTATTTTGAAGCAAACTCCTATAGTGGATTTGGTCCATGTTACATTATAAATCTCATATTTTCATATCAGCAGCTTAACATTGACATGAACTCTGGATGCAACAATTTGAAGGAATCTCACACAAAACAAGTTTTTCTTTGTGGAGCTCAGGTTGATTTAGTTTCACTTCATCCAAGCTGCTTTTATTTTTTTATTAAAGCCAAGGAGCTTAACTTTGTCAAGCTGTGCATAATTCAAGCAAATTTTATTTTATTTTTTGTGCAATAAGCTCAGCTTTGCCAAGCTTCATCTAATTCAACCTGGTTTTCTTTTTTTCATCTTGCAACATTGAGGTTAACTTTAGGATTCATCGCATTCAAACTGATTTTATTTTATTTCATTGGATAAAGCCAAGGAGCTTAACTTTGTCAAACTGAAGATAATTCAAGCTGATTTTATTTTATTTCTATTTTTGCTCTATTAAGCACATAATACTTATTTTAAAAAAATACTATCCGGTAGTTTTTATTTTATTTTAGTTCAGTTTTACTGTGAAATACTAACCTCATTTTGTCAAACTTCATCTCATCCAAACTATTTTTAGATTTTTATTTTATTTTATGTTATAGTGTAAATGTAAGTTTGGCTATGTAAAGCTTCATAGCCAAATAATAAAAAAATAAAATAATAACACTATTATTTTATTTTAGCTTATCTTATTTTATTGTTATTATTCAACAATATCTCAGTTTTATCTAATTTTTAATTGATTTTATTTAAGATAAAATATTTAAAATAAACTAAATATAAATCTAAATTATTTTATCATGATTAAAATAATTTAGTATATTTAATTTAAAATAAATATTTGAAAATAATTATAATTCATTTTTCAAATGTTGCATTGAAATATTACAATATTATTCTGTTGTATTATTTTAATGCAGAATTAAAAATAAGTAATTTTAGTATTTTATTTTAATGCCATAAAATATCTATTTTATTGGATTAAGCTGCACCTAATTCTGATTAATTTAGTTTAATTTCATTGTGCTGATTTAATCCAAGCAGCTCCAGTTTTTCCAGCTGCACTTCATCCATTGATGGCATCACATGATTTTCTTTTGTCTCTTTACACCAGACGTTGCTCGTCCCTCTCTTCCTGGGTGACACTGAGTTTAAATCTGATGAGCCTGATATTCTGTCCGATGCTGTGATCGTTCTTTATTGTTGACTGTCTGAACCTGCGAAAAGCATCTCTGAGAAAAAAAGCAAACAAACTTTTTCTCTTACTGCATATTTTACCACATATTAATCTTTGCTACTTTTGCAGCTTCATGACGACAACTGATGTGTTTAAATGGTTTACAATTGGTGAACTCCCGTAGCCCACCCCTCTGCTATTAATGGTATGGATGTTGACCTCTGTGGCCCTCGTATGATGTTTCCTGTAACCCCTCGATGCAACATAGATGTTCCTGTCATGGCTTTTTCATTAAGATACTGAAAAACGCTACTGTAAATGTTTTCAGCTGAATGCACTGTGTGTCGAAAAAAAACTACAATGGATCAGGAAATGACTCCAAAAAAATAGTATATAGTGTAACTATAGTGAAATGGTTATATGATGCATTTTTGAATTTTTTTTATTTATTTCATATTCTGTTATGTTTTAAAGAAGGACTCCCAGTCATTTTAAATGGTATGGTGTTGTAATGTGACCATTAAACCCAGTAAGGGATGGTCTAATGGTTGGAGCTGCCTGTACATACACTCAGCCCATATGAAGTATAAACATTTATGTTGTAGCATGGTAACTGTGTGTCTGGAAGAAAACAAGTGGATCATTGATCTGATTTGCTGTTGTTGAATAAATGTTCCTCAACATTTTGACTCATGTCTTCATCTATTTTTTTTAAAAAAAGACAAGATTTTAATAGTTGGCAGGAAATAAAGTGATTATCCACCTGAATCTATTCATAGCCTCATAAAAAATAAGTTTTAAAATGTAAAGTTTTATTTTCCTTTTTACCATCGAAGCAATTAATGTCCTAAACTTCCTTTTCATGTGATACTTTAGCAATATTTTATCATCATTACTTACATATATTAACAATAACAAGTAGAATACGCACAGCATAAAACATGTTTCTTGTCATCATTGGAATTATAATTTATTTATATTATGCTACGGTGCAGCTGCTCCTTAGGTGGATGTAATTTTGCCACCAGATGGAGACAAATATATTCATACAGTGTTGTTAAATAGTCAGATTCAAGTAATTTTATTTGTAAATCCAATTGTGATTTGTGTTTAGTCAATGAAGATGTTCTGTGCTAACCATCAAATGTTTTGCAACAAATTTAACCGTAGATGGTTTTTGTCTCACTTGTCATCCTTAGAATGAGTTTATAAAACAAAGCTACATTTATTATTAATACCCAAGGGGCTCAAACTAAAAGGAACAAAACAGTTTAGTGAAATAAAATTCAAGTAAATGACAATAATGTGAGAAAAAAAAGAACATATAATGGACAAGCAGAGGCAAATAAAAATCAAGTGAAATGTCAGCTTAAATGTCTTTACTAAGAGCCTATTAATAAAATAAATTGTGTCTAACTTACAGTAAAAGCCACTGGTGAATAAGTGTATTGTTTTTTGAATCCCTTTAACAGCAACTCCTGCTGAACTGGGTTCTTGTAAAAAGAAGGTTGTTTCTTTCTACTGTCACCACAAGCTTTCTCAGGAAAAGGAAATGCTGCAAAAATCCCAAACAGGAAGAAATCACAAATTTCTTTCCACCAACTCTCAATAATTAAATTGATTTGGGTTGTGATATAACTAGAGTTAAATTAAATATGAATATGTTGAATTTATTCATTAATGTGTATTCTAAAGTTCATTTGATGACATCATTTCTGTTGTGAAATAATGACTTTATTGTATTTTCACTGAGGCATTTGAGAATAAATAACGTAGTGACACTGTTTTTACTTGTCTTTAGCTTTAATTTTTCTGAAAAACTGCAGAAAATGAACAGTAAAATGCTGAACTAAAACAAAATAGGACTGAAAATAGTTTTGTTTTCAACATTTCTCTCATTTCTATTGTTCCTTTATGATTATAAAAACACTGCCTTGTGTATTAGTGTTACATGTCAAACGTTGTGTCCTTTATAATTAAATATGTATTTGATAACCATTTATATTTTAAAGAGTTTGCATTCAGTTTAAACGATGTTCACGTTAATTAGGTGTAGGGACAAAATGGTGAAATCAAACAGAGATACCTGAAGCTGGGATGAGTTTATAGTGATCTCTTTATATCCTGCTGTTGTCAATTAGCGAGATTACCGAGTGTGAGAGCGAGTGAAACCAATAATAGCCTCAGTGATCAGACTGCCTGCCCCCTGCTATCCACTGAGCTCGGCTAACTGGATGGAGACATTTGGCAGCGGTTAGCTAATTTAAACACTTCGAAGTGAACAAAGCAGCGATGAGCCGACAAGGTAAAACCAGCTCGCATTGATCCTACGGTATTGTATTTTTATAATATGCCTGCTTTTGGTTGTTTTTATGGGGTTAATGACGAGTTTTTTTTTTTTTTTTTTTTTGTCGATTGCTAGTTTTGGTGACTTTTTGCTGACATTAGCATCGCACGCAACAGGTTAGCCGTTAGTCGGCTAGCCTGTTAGCTCCTGTTAGCTCCCTGAGGGAGGAGTTCAGCACCGAGGAGAGCAGCTGCATCTTTAACGACACTGCAGTGAATAATAACATGCAACCTTCTTATAAATCGACATTTATTGCTAAAATCACAACTATGAGTCGAAATCGTCGTCTCAAATGTAAATTATTGATTAATGAAAGTAGTTTAGGTGTCATTAGGACAGAAATATCCTTTAAATTCAAGACAAACCTTAATAAAACGATAATATAATATAATTATTTTTATATTAACTTATTTAAATAGATTTTTTAAATTAGTCTTTCATATGTGGATCTAAACTAATATTTAGTATTTTTTTCTTTTTGTGGTGTTTTCTATTTTTATACACAGTGTCTTTAATTTTAATTTCTGAATAGTAAAAGCTTAATTTTTTTGCAGCAATTTATCTATGGTAGTTATTTAAAAAAGACAATTATTATAAACCTGTAAAGCTATAAAGATTTAATCACTAATTTTATCATCTCAAACCCCTCTTGAACATTTATTTAATGTATAAATACTCATTCTTAAACACATTGTAATTTTGAACTCATTACAGATTAGTCTTGATCTATGTTCTTCACTTTTCCTTCCTGATTCACATCGGTCTAATTTCATATTTCCTCTCTAAGTTTTTAACGGGACGTCTTCATCACTGAACTTCTCCACAAGAATTACAGGCAATGGATGTTCGCACACAAATCTAAGAGAGGACGACTGGGAGACGCTGCGTTTTGAGCTTTCGAAGGTAATGCAACACAATTCAACGGCGAGCAAGGACAGAAAAAAAAAAGATTTTCCCCATCTGAATTTATTGTTCTTTCCTCCTGCGTAGACGGAGGATGAGATTCAGGCGTTGAGGCAAGTCCTTTTGGCAAAGGAGAAGTATGCAGCAGACATCAGGAGGCAGCTGGGGATGAGTCCGCTTAGTAACGTGAAGCAGAATCTCTCCAAAGGTTGGCAGGAAGTCCAAACCTCAACTCCGTACGTTCACCCACACTTTCACAAACACAGAAACAAAGATTTATATAAAATTTCAGTGAAGTTTTCAGTTATTGATGTGGGCCAAAAACCACCTCATCCTAGCACCAAAACTTATAAAAAATTGTGTTGCTGTGATTCCATTAAGAAAAAATTATCAAAATGTCAGATTGTGCAATTTTATGGACAATGGAAAGGCAGCTATGGTTACATAATCAAAATATGCAACCTGGCAATGGTCAGGGCACTAATCTGCCAACCTCTGCATGTCCTGTCGTTTCAGATATCTCACGGCCTCTGCCACTCTGGAGGACATCAGCAACTCCAGTGTGTGAGTCCACATAATCACAATTGTCATCCCCAGAAATATATTGACTTTTTAAAACAACTGGATCTCTTTGGCGTTTATTTCTCTGCATGTTTCCTTAAGAGGGATCACTTCTAAGAACCATCTGAAGGGATTTTCCGGGTCAAATAGGATTGGTGCTCTGATAATAGCCCCACAGCCTGACTTAGCACAAGAGGCAGTGGCTTTACAAAGTCACCATGACGAGCCTCAAGTGTTTGTGTTAAACAGAGGAGGAAGGATCTGCTGCAGCCAGATGGACAGCTGACGCACATGAAGCTTATTGTTGTTTACGAGTTGCTTTTGCGTCTGGCGGTGGGATGTAGCGGAGTACAAGTACTTTGTTGTTACTGTACCTACATAAAATTTTAATGTATTTACATTTTCCTTTAAGCTGGAGAACGTAATTTTTATTAAAAATGTTTTTTACATATTTGTTGAAACTATCACCAGGTTATGATGGTATGAGACAGATAATCTGTGAAAAATCAAGCTCCTCTACTTTCTCACCAATCATCCAGTAGGAGGGGTCTCAGCAATGTCAATCAAACTTGTGAATGCGCTGCTAAATGTGCTGATGGTGAATAAGCTACTTACATTACAGAAAAACTGCTTGTCCACCAATATTGATGGCTATGGTAATCAACCTTAGCATTGACAACAGACTGCTGCACACGGTGCACACAGACATGATTGACAGCGCTAAGACCCGCCTCCTAGCTCTTATTGGTTGTTTCTAGATGGCACTGGGAGAAGGCTGAGGAATTAAATATATTTTTGTTACAGATAATATAAGAAAGGTTCAACTCCTTTATATTTTTGTAATGTGTTCACAGAAATGTGTGGAGTTTTATTTGTGTCACATTGCATTATGTTTACTTACTTTTGAGTTAACTATGGGTCCAAAAATGGGTCCAAGTCTTGCAAATGGTGCCAGGAAATTAAATGTATTCAAGAAAATATACATATAGTCAGACTTGTTCATATTCTAGGCCATTTTATTAGGGAAAACATTCAATAAGTACTTCCACAGTCAATACTTCAGGTATTTTTAAAAGCAAGAATGTGGTTTTGCTGAAGTTAAAATATTCATGTGGTACTTTTTCTTTTACTAGAAAACATTTTTGTCTGTTTACAGTGTTTGCCTTCTGTTCTGTGTTGACTGGTTGCTGCTGTTTAACATTCGAAAACCCACAGGGCTTTGTTTTATCTCACCGACTGACTTAATTTATCATGTGTAGATACGTGAGGACACGAGACGGTCTGTCTCAAGCCGGCCAGGTGACATCTGCTGCTCTGTCCAACGTGAGCGTGGCCATCACCAGAAGGCTGGCGCAGATGAGGTCAGCCCACTTTTATTTGGGTTGCATAAAAACAGAGGGAAACCTTTCAATAAATAGTTTAGTTATTCTACAAGGTGTTTCTCCCAGAGTATTATAAGCCTGGTGGGCTGCCAGGCTTTACACTACACCCAGGCTTGGGTGTGCTTTGTTTATTTATTATATAAACAGTTTTTTTTTTAACACATTAGTAACTGTGATGAATGAATTAATAGTTTATTTGTGCATTTCAGCAACAAGGCCTTTCAAAGTGCTTTAAAACATACAAACAGTCAAACAAGCAACAGACATTACATTTTGTCGAGTTCCATCATCAATACACGTCAAATATGTTGATTAATGTTCAATTTCTTATGGTTTTAAATAAACTCAAAACAGGTGGGGTTTTAGCCTGGATTTAAACGTTTTGTGGTTTTCTGGAAGTTTGTTCCAGAAAACCTTATGAGGGCAAATTTCTGTATTTTCTACCCAATGGATGAAAAAGAAACATGTTTTAACGAAAAATTCACCTGCAGTTAGTTTTATACTGAAAGAAACTGATTTTATTTTTAATTTGTATTTATTTTTATCCTTAAAACATCAAAATATCCGCTCAAGTTTATATTTTGGTCAGTCTGATGTAAGTTTTACATTACTTGAGTAGACTTTTTACCAAATACCTTTTTACACTTGAGTATAATTTATTAGTAATATGTCGAGGTAGTGCTACTCCTACTTGAGTCCAGAGACTACTAACCTCATTATAACCTTGCACTTGGAGCATCACTTTATCATCTTTAAAGAATATTCAAACTATAATCCAATATCAACATTGTTTTTGCATTTTCTTTTCTCATTTATGCTGCTAACGTTATACAGAGCCTTGCCTCTTCCAAGCCCACCACGGTAAGAGCTGAGCTTCAAAACGTCTTCATTTTAGAAAGTAAATAAAGAAATGTTAGTTTGTAACATTGTTACAAACTCCAGTTAAAACTGGAATATGTGATAATTCAAAGCAGTTTTCCACCTTAAAATGTACAATTTACCTTCAAGATATCATTTTATAATATCTTTTTTTTTTGTTTTGTTTTTTTTTCCGCTCAGGACAATGAGCCACGCCATTAGTGTGCCATCTATGAGGTAAAACATCACAATATATTTAAGAACAAGTTAGTATTCAATGTATTTAATGGCATGTTTAATTGTTAATTTTTATTTTTAGGCATTCATCCACATTCAAGTCGATTGAAGAACTTGTTGGCAGTGTGAAGGTGAGTGTTAATGCTAAACAAACATAAAAAACATAATATATAGTTTATATTGGGTAAGTTATGATCAATTATTTCTGAATTAAAAGGATAAAGTGACTGGAGGCGTGTCAAACAGTGAAGATGCCACTGGATTTGAAAGAAGATCCTCCCGCAACTAAACCTGAGATGAATCGATTTTATGCAAGTCACTAAAATTTCTCAAAGTTCAAGAAGTTTGAATTCTCTCACTCATCAATATGTATGTTTGTTTTTTCAGGTTCTTTGTTGATGCAGATTAAGAAGTTGAATGTACAATACAAGTTGTCAAAACAATTTAGATGTATTTAAACCTTTGAATGTTTCATAATGTGATCAGATTTGTTCATTTTAATATGCTGGTTGTTTTTGACATGCTTGTATATCCATATTCTGAAATCAGATGTACTGCAAGGTATTTTTGTAATGTCAGTTTTTTCAAGTAAAGGCTTTAGAATACATTCAATGTCTTCGTTTGTTGATTTCTATGAATTTGGAAATGGACATAAAAATAGCTAAAGTAGCTTCAATATATTATTTTACATATAATTTGACAGGAAATGGAGCTTCTTTCGTTTTATAAGTTGTAAATAAAAAAGGTTAATAATGATAATGCAATTGTTTAATAAAAGTGAAAAAGTAAACATTAGGTGGTTTATTTCATGTGTCTTTCTGTTTTGTTTTTTTTAATTTATTTTAAGATAATAAACCTGTACAAAATAATAATGTATCATTATCTAAGTAACATTTATTATATTTTAAAGTTTTTAACAGTTATGATTAAAAACTGTTATGGTAATTATTGTTACCATTTAAATAAATCCAATGGTAACAATAATACATGGACATAATTGAGAAACATAAGTGACATATCCCATATGTACCTTTGGGTGGCGCTAGATAATTCGTTTTTATTTTGTATAGTTGGTTTTTAATTAAGTCAGCTTACAAGCGCTCCTTCCTTTCTTTTTTTTACGGTTCCTGAAGCTTAAAGAAGCAATATGGAAATTTTAATTGTACAAGTGTTAACATGTCCCAGGTCTTAAAAACGGAGAAACTTATTTTCGTTCATTATGAATAGAAAATTATATATGAAAGAAGGTTATCTGTTACCTGTAAAAGAAATTCTAATTTAGTTTTATTGAATATTTAGGTCATATTTAACATTTATGTTTATGTATTTATAGAAAATTCATATTTATGACTATCTGTAACTTACTAATATTTGCTGTTAATACTTTTGAGTAGATGGTCAAATACATTTCCCCATGGGGATCAATAAAGTTTAATCTATTTTGAAATTACAAAAGATGAGTTCCCTGACCGGGAATCGAACCCGGGCCGCGGCGGTGAGAGCGCCGAATCCTAACCACTAGACCACCAGGGATTCGTGTACGGAACCCGGACAACTCTGGTTATAGTGAGGCACTTCCCCGTCGGCCGGTGGCCATTTCTGTGCTTGATTTCTTTCCTTGTCCTGTCTGGGTTCAGAACAGGGACGGAATAAGTCCTGCACTGGCTGCCATCGGGTTAAGTAAAGCCTGTGTAATCTCCCTAAGCGCACTGGTGTCACCGTGGCCACTTTATGCGTGTCACGGTGGAGCACGTTCCCGTGCTCAAGTTTCAAGCCCCGCCCACGAGCCCCGAACGAACGCGCCTGCTGCTATAAAAGCCGTTCGTGGGCCATCCTACGTGACCACAGCAGTGATCCACACCGACCCAGATAGGTTGTCCGTCCACAAATGGTCCATAGTTAGCCTGCATCTACCCTCTCTTCTTCTGCAAGCATCATCCACCCATTCTAAAGGTAAGTTAAAAATAATTATTCTAGAGTATATTTTCATGTTTATGATTTTTTTTTTGTTTTAACTGTTTTGCATGGAAAAAAATCTCAATTCTCCACCTTAGTAATTAATCTTGAATAAATAAATTAAGAAATTATAGCAGAATTGACATTATTTTCTTGTAGATTGTGCGTCATCTGCTGTACTTATAGGCCATGCAGTGTTGGCATAGGTCAGTGAAATCCCTATAAGCCATCTGCTGTTCAGACAGTTAAGCTGCACAGCCTTGAACTGGTTCTGGTCTCTGCACAATAATACACATTTTTCAATTGACAATGGTAAAAAAATAAGGATTTATATTTCTTTTATGACTTTGGAAGTTGAGTCTGCATGCAGCCAGTGTGTCATGCAGCCAGTGCATGCACACCAGCCTGCTGTATGCATGGGCACATTCTCCCATACATTCTTGTAATTTGAGTTTGGGGAAACCTGACACTCAGAGCCACCAGTTACTATTTTATAACTCCTTGACCATCAATGGGTCGAGAGTGTTAATTTAAACTGAACAAGCTCCAGGATGGAAATTAAATGGTTGAGTTTGACATATCTGATTTTCTCTTTCGGTTATTTTCCACCTAAAGTCGGAGAAAATGGCATCAATCCCATCAAGTGGTTCTCTCGTCGCCACACATGACTACTATAGAAGTAAGTAATGCTTATATAATGCTTTTTATCTTTGGAAAAGTATACAAAAATTAAACGTTACCATTTCTTTCCAAAAGGACGTCTCGGGTCCAACTCCAGCAGCAGCTCTTGTGGGAGCGCAGAGTACACTGGGGAGGTTATTCCACACCATCCAGGTATGGAAAGCAGCATATTGCTGAAACATATTCAAAATGGCCTCTCAATGAATCACAGTTAAAAATAAACGTTTGTTCTTCGTAGCACTTCCGAGGCAAGACTCCGGTCACTGGTGGACTTCGTTCTTCTTTGCAAAGCAGAACCAGCTCGCTGTGCAAAATGGATCTGAAAATCAAAAGTGAGTGACTTATGCAGATGCAAAAAAACATTAAATGTACAACACATGAAATCAGATAAAAGCAGCAAGTATCTTTTGAGCAAGAAGTAGGAGTTTTAGTAAATAATACCATAATGTAAATTTAAAAATACTTGTTCCACTGCCAGATTATCTCATTTATAACGTGGAAAAAATGCATAAATGAAATAATCTGCCAGTGGAAGTAGTACTGGGTTACTAGGTAACAGTGCAGTGCCCATCATCAAATAACTGATAAATTTTTATTTATTTATTTTTTAATCAATATTAAGTTTTCCATGTCAACTCTTTAAAGAATTTGAATCAATATGAGTTACAACAACATGTAACCTCCCTTTGGGATCAATAAAGTTTTTGAAAACTTGAGTAAATAATTCTTTAATTTTGATGAAAAAATACTAAGGCCACTTAGAATACGTTTCTCCTCATGTTATAGGAGAAATAACTGTCACGTTTCCATCAATATTGAGAAATTATTTACTTAAAAGAAGCTCCTATATCTTGCAGAAAAGTTACTTGTAAACTAGTTTTGTCTTATTTCAAATTTACTAAGATATTTGTTCTCGAAACTTGACCAGAAATCCTCAGTAAGAGTTTGAGTTTTTGCAGGATGGGAGCATTTATGCTGCCTGATGGTAACCTAAAGGTTTGTTTGTGTTGCAGGAACGGTTACACCTTCGCCAACGGACAGGTGGCCTGCATCGCCAAGGAAATGGTTCGGACCAGACAACTCAGCGAAAGCAGCGATGGTGGAAAACATGAACCAATGTCCCCCCCACCAACTTCCTCCTAGTCCTCAACCCTCCTCCTCCTCCTCTGCACCTTCCTCACATCCACTTGCCACCTCTCACATAGTCCAGCAATGGAGATGTAACGATGGTGGTCGTGTTGATGGGGTTTCCTCACCCTGTTCTTTTTGCCTGTATATAGTATGTTTGTATATTGACCAAAAGTTATAAAAAAGCTCGTACGTAAAAACATTTTTTATGCATAAGTTGTAATAAATTACAACTGACAATAAAACTAGTCTAATCATCGCTTTTTTTGTCCACCACTTTGTTTTTTTAATCGGTTAACCTTCTTATAGCGAGAATAAAACAATAACTTAATGTTTTCAGTAAACACCACATTTTGGCTTATATAACCTGGAGAGAACACAGGTGACTCAACAATGGGCTTAATCTGTTTGCAACGCTGACATGATTAGAAACGATTAATTCAAGCACTAATGCCGTTTATGCAACGTCTCGGTTCGGCTTTAATGTGGGTCAGCAGCTTGAGGAAGACGTCATGGAGAGGAAATGTCAGGGAGGCTAACTTAAACCAAATAACAAGGTGCTTTCTGGACCCAGATGTCTTTAAGTCCCTCAATGTTTTTAATTATACAAAGTGGTCAATACACACATTGCAAGACAGAACATATAGTAAAGTATTTGTCTAGTTGCACTTGCACTTTTTGGACCTATATTAAGAAATGATATTGACTTAAAACAAGCTCCTACGTCTTGCTTTGTTATTTTTGTCTTATTTCAAGATATTTGCTCTATAAACTGAACCAAAATACTTAGTAGGATTTTGTGTTTTTTGTAGTCTAAGTCATGATCTTCCACACCATCATCGTCAGGCCTGATTTGATCATCTTTGGGATGAATTAGAGTGAAAACTGTGAGGAAGGCCAATTGTCCCACATCAGTGTCTGATCTTACAGATGCACTTCTATATTTGCAACAGTAAAAAAATGTTCATAAACTTTGAAACCTAAACCTAGGAATCTCCATTCACTAGTTTTTCAGTTTCTTCCTTCTGGAAGGTGATATAAAGTTTTTCTGCTCAGGGAAAACGTTTATAAAATCCCTTCTGCAACAAACAAGACATGTTTGTTTTACATCTAACTGATATTTTCAGCTATTCTTCCTCTTGCACTACAAAAAGGATATTTCTATTGTATTTTCCAAACAAAATACACCTTGCATTGTTCCATTATCTTCTGTGAGAGGCGTGTCTCATTAGAAAGAAAGATTAAAATTTTAGCCTGTATGAATAATTTAGAGCTTAAATTTTACGTAAAAATCCAAACGGTGTCAAAATTAAACCCTTATTTAACGAATATAATTTGATTTTTGTTTATTTTGATTATTCAGTGACATGAAATCTTTACTTGAAGATCAGTTTGCATGAAAAGCAGCATGTTTTGAGTCTTTTAATGTCTTTGTACAACTTAGAGTTGTGCAACATTAAAAACTTAGAAATCTTGCCGTACTGGCAGCAGAAATAAATCAACAAGATTATTGATTCTCAGTACGTATTATTCTGGGAATTACAACAAACAATTTCCCAAAATGAACACTGATAATTAAGAATAGACTGAGCAAAGTCCTGTTGGAAGGTTACTTCTCTGTTCAAACATGAAATGCAAATAGCACTGTGGCCCTGACTGCAGAACCGCTTCAGACACCATTCTGGGATAAAAATGCTTTTTAAGAATAAAAAATCTTCAAAGTGAGGTGTACATTTACGCTGACAGCCCTAAATAAAATTCGGTGAAGTTTAGTTAATTAATGGAAGACGGAGACTCAGCAGACGACACTGTGGAGATGTTTAAAGCTGATTTATGTTATAAAACATTGTTCATAATGCTGAAAGTCACAGAGAGACAGAGGAAAGTTACTAAAACTGATCACTTTTTCTCATTTTTTTTCTTCTACTACTCTCCAATTTTAATTATTTGCTGATTTTTCAGCTTTTTGTTTTCGCTCAGATATTTTTCTCTCCATAGAAGACAGATCTGGCTTTCAGGACCGTCCTACTGCTGCACTGCAGAAACACAAAAGTTTGGTTCAGTTTCCACTGCAAATATCTTGGTACACTTCAAATAAGACAAAACAAACTTAAAAAGTAATTTGTCTGCAAGATAGCTTTCTTTCACTTCAAGCATACTAAAATATTCGCACTAGAAACTTGACCAAAATGTTTGGTAAGATTTTGTGTTTTTGCAGTGGAATCGTTCTTCCTCTTAGAACAAAGAGTTCTCCTACATCAACTTTGAAATTAATCTCAGAAATATTCTAGAAAAAAAGTAGACATTTTTGAGTTTCAAAAGTAGAAAACTTGTAACTTTTCAAACTCATTTCAAATTGATATTATCAACAGTCAAAAACATTTTTTGACTTTCTAAACTAAACTTTAAAAAAAAAGCTAATTCTAGAAACTTTCTGAGATAAATCTGAAAATATCCAACCTTTTTCTAGCAAGTTTTTGACTTTACAAACTCAGAGCTGTCCTTGTTTTTCTACAAAATGTCAAAGATTGATCAAAAGATTTCTGAGTTTTTTCTTGCAAATTTCTGAACTCAGATATTTCCAAGTTTTTTCTGAAAAATCTCAGAGATTAATCTGAAGTTTTCTGAGTGTTTTCTCACAAACATTCAACTTTTTGTTGTTTTTGGGTGTGAATTTACTCCTCATTTTAATTTCTATCGACGTCGTAGTTCAATCAAATCTTCTGTTTTTAGTTATAAATAATTATTTTTTTGTCTGCTCTCGCCAGCTTCCTGCAGCACAGACTGCTTGTGCCCATCAGTTGGCTCTAAAACAATCTGGGCCAAAGGTGTCTGGTCCAACATCCGGGGCCCAAACACACAGGTTCATTCAGCCCAGATAAGATAAGATGAGAGGGAAGAGACACGCAGCGCTCAGCTTTACCAGACTCAGTGACTCATTGTATATTTTAAGCTCAGGTGAAAAGATTCGTTCCTGTTTCGGGTCTAAAAGGTCATCCTGTTTTAGGGTCATATTTGATCAGCAGCACGAGCCGGACGGATGGACCCGCCTGGGCCCACGAGCTGCATGCTGGCAGCATGGCGGTTTATGGAGTTTTCTGTTTGTGTTCCCTTCTGGTGGCCAAGTCCTTAAATACAACAAAAACACATTTCAACACCAGCATCTGCAGCCGTTTTAGAGAATCTATCTGAGGCTCATTCCCAAAAAAAACAGTGTTTGCAAAGAGTGTTTGTTTGATTCATACGGAAGAGGATGAGGGCCAGAGAAAAAAAAAAGAATTCTGATTTTAATATCAGAATTCTGACAGTAAAGTCAAAACTGTTTTATTTTTTTCCAGTGGCCCTAATCCTCTTCCATAAATTCGTTTACAGATCTTCTTTTTCTTGAGTTTTTGCCACATCCTATCAAACCATAAACATCCCATCAAAGGCTGGTTGTGTTACTAAACCTTCCCACTAAATACAACAACATCAAACAGAAATGAATAGTTTCTGCGCAGCTCTTTTTGGTTTCTTTTGTTCCATATTTCTTCTGTGAACAGAAAAACAACGATCCACTTGTTTTATTTGGGTTTTTTATAAATGTTATGCTCTCAAAAATTTCCCCTTGAAACATCTTATAACTTGCTAAATGTTGTTTAGAAATCGTTCTCGGGCGACTGATGAATAAAGAATAAACATTTTGGAATCAATAGGTCGACATCTATCTAGAAAACATTAAAGTGCTCAAAATAAAACTTTCATGAAGGAACTAAAATCAGTTTTGTCACGAATAATATGACTAGTCACTCAGATGAAAGCACTTTAATTCTGTCTCTCAGTCAATGTCCAGAAAGCAGGATCTGGGTCAAAGGTCGCTACGGGAATCCATTTTGTTTTCGGTTCACAGCTGAACTGTAAACACTGAAACGTGCAGCCCAAAAAAAGAAGTACTCAAAGTTGATTCATAAATGTTTCCCATTCATTTTAGGACTGGAATGATTAATCGTGATGAATTATTTTTTAATAATTGTCTACTAATTTAGTAATCAATTCATCGTTAACTAAAAAATCCAGACTCAAAAAAGGAAATTTGCTGAAAGAACAACAGTCTTAAATAAACAAGTCAAACTGTAAGAAAAGAATAAACATTTTCAATTCGAAATATTATAAAAAAGGAATGTTGTTGAATTTTAGCCCATAATGTTTATCTTCTCATATGAAAAAAGAATTTAATTATTTGTTCTTTTGCATCTTTTAATGTATTTCCAATGTATAAGAAATGCTGAAATTAAAAAAAATCTGTAGAAGAAACCAAATGTATTTAACTGATTAATCGATTAATCATCAATATAACTGACAAATTAATTGATAACTAAAATAATTGTTTGTTGAAGCCCTAGTTTAATTTCTTTATGTAGGACAAAAGCTCTACTTCTGCATGTGTTTGTATGATTAATTAAAAGTATTCATTTAATTCCATTCAAAAATACTTTATTGATTAAAAATGGAAATTAAATGTCATTTCAATTCATTTCGGTTAAAGTTCTTCATACAGTTACTGTAGATATTAATGAGTCTAGACAGAGATGTTTTAGCTGAATGTGCATAATTCAATTTTTGTTTCAAATTTGCATGTTGCAGGAACAATAATTTTAATTTTCAAAATTTTAAAATGATTTTTTTTTAAATTATAATATAAAAAGTCCATCAGCAATTTCACTCTTTATTGTCTTAATTATAGGAGCTGTTGGACAAAAACACCTTAACTAAAGTAAATAAACTGTGTTCACATGCAGCAATGAGGTCAGTGTTGGTCGGGTATCTTGGCCCGGTTCTGGGGAAACATGATGTCCAGTTTCACACAAAGCTCTATTTGCAGAAGCAGCTGAGAATCCTGCCAGGCGCGAGTCGACCCAGATGAAACCGCCGTGACAAATATTCCTGTCAGAAACCTTAAACGGGTCACATGAACAAACTCCGTCCCGGAAGAAAGTAGATCTCTAAAACAGAATGACCCGAAATGCAACAAGTTCTTCTTCCTTTCGCTCCATTTCAGAAATGTTCTGGAAAAAACAAGGACATTTCTGAACATCAAAAATCTAAAATGTTTTACTTATGAAACTGGAAAATTTCTGAGATTAATCTAAAAATGTCTCAGTGTTTTATATCAAGTGTTCAAGTTTTTGATTGTGGACATTTTTATGTTTTTTCTAGAAAATTTGAAATTTTGGAGCTCAGAAATTTCCTTATTTATATGTATTAAAAAAAAGTTTCTGGGCTTTTTTCCTCACAAATGTTGCCTTTTCAAACTCAAAGTTTTTTGCATTTTCAGGAAAATTTCCAAGATTAATGTAAACCTTTAAGATGTTTTTTCTCACAAATTTTCAACGTCGAAATTTTCAATTTTTCTCAGTAGAATTTCAGAGATTTATTTAAAAATGTTTATCCGATTTCTGACTTTCTGAAATTCCTTGTTTTTCATTGAGCTTGAAAAACAAATCTCAAAATTTCTGTGCATTTTGATCAAGTTTTTCTTTATTTTTCATCTATAATGACCTTAATTAGCTTTCAGACTTTAGAGAGTCAAACTATTTCTGTTGGTTGTGTCATTCCTTTGTAGATAATCAGATTATCACTACTGATTCCTGCAGCTGGTTACCTCGTCAACAGTTGATTTTTGACTCTCTGCTGCTCTCTAGTGGAGGAAGTAGATAATGCATTAGATAGTTGGTGACGTAGGTAAAACCTGAGACATATTAGCAGACAAAACAAGGAGAAAATAAAAACCAGGACACTAATGTCAGTTTGATAGCTCATCGCACTGTTTTATTCAATTACTGACATCTCAGGAGAAGAGGAGAGCTTCGCAGCTCCTGCAGTTGGTAAACCAGTGTTTTGCTTCCTGTTTTTTTCTCACTTTTTTTTCATTTTTATCCATTTTTTTTTTTTTTTTAGTTTTTAGTTTTTCATAGCGTTGATGCAACACTGAAAAAAAGCGCTATTTCCAAACGAACACAGGTCCCTCGTTAGTGATATGTAAGAGGCAGAGAAAATCTCACCTGGACAGTTTTGCATGAAACATACCAATGAAAAAAAGGTTCAACCTTTTCTTTTCTCTTTTTTTTCTTTTTGTAGTTTCACATATATTAATAAATATCAATACCAATAAACACTCAAAAAGAAAAACCCAAAATATTCAGTCACAGGTACTGGAAAAAGCTCCACCTTTAAATCACAATGATAAATGTACAAAACAATAGACATCTCATATAAATGTTAATGGTTTTTTTTTTTTTTTTTTTAAGTTTAGAGACTTAACTCTCATTTTAGAAGAAAGTAGCGGATAAAACTAAAGTTGGAGAATCAGTATTTCCTGAGGTTTATGAGTTCCCCTTTAAAGGCCAGAAGAGGGGAATGGCTTTCATGTTACCAGGAGATGTTACAACAAGTCAAAGTGAACCTTTCAGGGCACCAGTCGGATTAAGAACGAGGAGTTTTTCCCCGACAACACGCCAGGATACTAAGTCAATACGAGCACTTATAGTAGAATAATAAATGTACCGACATCCCACCGTTCTCTGCTCACTCTGTTTAGGCCACAACAGGGTTAAAAACTGTTAAAGTCATCTTAATCCTTAATAAATCTTTGCTGGTCCACTTTGAGAAGTTGTGAAACTCCCCCTTGTGTTTTTTTTTCTCTTAAATATCACCATTTTAAATGCTGGAAGCCACCACATCGCCGTCGTGCACGGCTCACTCTGACCGAGTCGTCGGAGAAGTCACGACGCAGTGAAACAACGGAAAGCAAAAACTCTCTAAGCGAATGAACACAGATCAGGGCGAGGGGAGGATAGATGAGAGGAGCGGGCGAGAGAGAGAGGGGGGGAAAGAATAAGATGCAAAAAACAAACAAAAAACGCAAAATATTCTCAAAAACTGTACATGTAAACATCACACTTTCACTGAGTCCAAAACCAGAAAGGGAAAATACAAAGCTTCACACAGGTTTACAGTACGAACCCCTGCACAGAGCTACAGTCTCTTACCAGTGCAGGAGAGGCAACAACTCAAATAATATAAATAACAATAGAAGTTATACAGACCATCACAAAATGATAAGTTAAAACAGGCAAGGGCTAAAACCACTTTGATTTTTTTAACAGTGCTGTACCCACAGAAAAACAAAAGGTTCAAAACATCTTTTATCACTCTTTGTACAGCTATACAGTACATTTATCTGACCACTTTAGCAATCCACAAGCTACCAGGGCATTTTAGTCAACACCAATAGATTACATTGTCAAGTCAATACAAAGAGCAAAAAATCATTGGGCGTCGTTGGGAAATATAACAAAACAACAACATGACGACAAGTTTTTTTCGCTGTTGGTCACAGTAACTTCAGCACACAGCTAAACGTGTTTGCTCAGCGGGGGGTCAGAGGGCGCGGGGAGCCGATCTGCAGGCGGGGGTTTGGTTTGGATGGACGGGCCTCAGCCTGGCGCTGAGCTGCAGGGGGAGAGGAGGAGAGGTTCTGCTACGCTAACAAACAGGACGGGGGACGTGGAAGACGTGTGAGCGCTCGTCTGCGGTTGCGTCCAGAGGGGTGTCGCAAAAATACCAGAGGAGGCGGAAAAAATTCAGTTCTGAAGACGGTAAAAATGGTCAGATATTTACCAGATTAGATCAATATTAAACCTAAATTGTGTAGAAAAACACACAACAGATCTCACATTGTCATTGATTAAATAATAATGAAGCTTAACTGAAAAACTGAAGCTGTTTTTGTACAGTAAAATTACACTGTAAAAAATAAACAGCAATTTATTTCAGTTTTCAAAGTCATTTTATTCATACATTTATAAATGTCATCATTCCAAATTAAGTATTTCATTCAGAAACTAAATTTAGTTTACAAAATATATTTTTAGCTTTCAAATTAGTAACCTAAACATTTAGATTTCAAACTAAATATTTAGCTTAAAAACTAATAGACATTTAGTTTGAAAACAAAATATTTAACACCACATTATATATTTATTTTGCAAACTAAATTTTTAGTGGTAAGGTAAATATTTTTCAAACTAAACATTTATAGCTATTTATAGCTACATATTTACTTACCTAGCAACCTAAACAGATAGCAATCTGAATATTTAGTTTGAAAATAAATGTTTTCAATAAGCTAAATATTTAGCTTTTACCTATAAAGCAAATATTTAGCTTACTGCTAAATATTTAGTTAAATATTTGGTTTATAGCTAAATATTTATGCAAATTCCTATTTATAAATGGCACCTTATAGTCCAGTAGGTTTGGTTCATATAAGGACAAAAACTGCAACATTTATTACATTTTCAGTTGTTGCAGTTTGCTTTCACACTGCACTGTGTCAAAGAATCTAATTGAAAAGGCTGTTCCACCCCTCACCTGTGGGGGCGCTGCACCAAGAACTACTGAAGGAAACAACAGGAACTGAAGGAAAAAACTAGCTTTAGCAGAACTAATGTTTAGTGGTTTGGGCTCAGCACAACTAACTTTTTAGGTAGCTTGACTGATGTTTGCAAATCACAGAACAATGTCCATGCGACAAATGGTGTGCTTATATGGTTCCTCCATATATGGTTTCACTTCAGTTTTTAATAAGTAATGGCACATCTAATAAGGAATCCGTTGTGTATGTTTATAGACAATGTCAAGATTTAAATGAGATCATTTTTATAATGTCCTGATTTTTAAAGCGCTAGAACTGAAAGGTAGACATTTATTATAAATGTATTATGTGCATTGGTTTTCTTCAGATATTTATTTGTTGGGGTTCTCATAAAATTAGTACTTCATTCTCCTAAAATTACAAATGTATTCAGATAGTATTGAGGCATTATTCTCATATTATTTCAACTTTGTAGTTTTATGTCTTTTTTATCATAATAGAGAAAAAAATCTTAGCTTCCATCATAGAGTTGACCTGAATTCAACATCAAAAATAAATGGAAACTGTAAAACACTCTTGTAAAACAAGATGGCCACCGTTTAAACTATGGAAAGCCAGAGTGCATTGGTGAAACAAAATCTAGATTTTCCAAAAATTAAATCTTCAAAAACCAAAAATTTGATTAAACGTTCAAATTGATTATAGCCCACATATATCTAATGCATTTGGAAGCCTTCTCCTGACTGATACCTTGATTATTTCTCATCTCATTTTACATCACAGAAACTTTGCATTTGAACAAACAATAGATTTTTCATTTCTATTGCAAATAAATGTTGCAGGCATTTTTGAATGCAGAGTTTAGGTCTGAGCCTCTGTTTTGAAACACCCCTCAGACAGGACATGGACGGAGAAGGACATGTTTGCTATATTTGTGTGTGGACTGAAGCTGAGATCTCAAATGAGGTATTGACACGCCGAAGCCACCATCTTAAATTTTCCTAATCCTGAGCTATAAAGTGCTTCCAAATTTGAAATATATGATAGAAAATAAATGGGAATGTTGCTCGGCCCAGTCATAAGACAAATAAAAGAACCGTTAGGTCATGCATGTCCAACTTGGAAACCAGATGGATGAAAAACACGTGTGAAAAGTTTTAAAGATACAGAAATATATTTCCTATCATCTCAAGACTAATCGATAAGGTGCAAGCCGCTTTGTGGCCGCTCGAAGAGTCAGTAGCTGCGTTTCCATTAACAATAAAATTGTGCAAATTCAAATTATGAAAATAAATTTGCTTAAAGGAAACATGGCAAGTCTTAAAAAAACTGGCGGTTTTATAGCAGTAGCGAAATTGGTTTATCTGCAATAGACACAATCAAGTTACATGATCAATAATAAGATGTTACTACTGGCAGAAAGAAGAAGAAGAAGAAGACAGGAAGTAGCTGGAGGATGATGACATGCCATGTTTTTTAATGATTCATTGCATGAACAAATTTATTTATGGGTGATTTTAATTGCATTTCTTATTGAAGGAAAAAATCCCAATTGAAATGTTTTATTTTTTTATATTAGCAGAATATTGACAATGTTATGTGCTCATTTGTAATGAGTGCAGTTGGTAGCACCACGGGCGAGTCCATTGATATAGCGTTGCACAAATTAAAATTTGTTTAATAGAAACACGCCAACTTGAAAAAATTCTCCTGTTTTTTAATAAAACGTTCTTGTACTAGTATCTGGTTGTTTTTTATATCAAAATAGATGTATTTTAAAAAAAAACTGCAATGAGAAACGTTTTAGTCATCACATGAGTCATATGATGAGCCGCTAAATGTTACTACTAGCAGAAACAACAAAGAAGTCAACAGGAAGTGGTATTAGGATGATGGTGTTTTTGTTTGTTTTTGTCAGGCAATCTGCAGCTGGCTCCACCAGAGCTCTCACAGCATGAAAAGTTGTGTATCATCTAACGTGTTAAATCCATAGTTTATCTGTGAAAACCCCAAAATGGTGCATATGTAGCCGATTCCCATGAAGGCGGAGCTTGTCGCGCCAACCCCTGAATGAAATGCAGGCGTCTCCTCTGATTGGCGACTGAATCAGAAATATATCTCATTTAACTGTTTGCATCAATGGCTTATTGCATCATGGAAACACAGCAGTTGCGAAATTGAGTATTTTGTGACATTAGTGGAAGATTCACGCACATTTGTAATGGAAACGCAGCTTCTGTTAGGAATGTTTCAGCCGACTGAATTAAATCTTCACAGGTTGTACAAACTGGGCCACTCCACTTCCACTCTGCAAGCACGAAATCAGCACAACATTAAGACAACTGGAAAACACACACACACACACAGACAATCTGTTTTTGTGCTGAGTGACTCACCAGTAGGAGATGTTCGTCTGTGCTCTGACACTCTGAACAAACACACACCGTAGCAGAAAGCCGGGAGAGTAAACTGCGATGCGATCACATCTTCTCCAGATTGTCTCTTGTTTCTTGTCGAACAGCGTGTCAGGACGCATAGAGGAACCCGGGGACGCCGCCGAGGTCGTGGGGACAGACGGGACGACGGAGGGAGGTGGACGAGAAGGAGGAGAAGGAAGAGGAGCGTGTGCCGCCTGTCAGTAGCACACGCGTCTAAGCTTCACTCTGTGTGCCTTTTTTACAAAAGAAATCTATAGAAAACGCTTCAAAACACGCAAAAGTAAAACGAGACGTGCAACATCGAGTCTCGTTTTTCTGCCAGGTCCTTTCTGTCACAGCAAGAACGACTGATGGCGCCTCAGTCATGAGGTCAGCACTGACGACGAACAACAACATTGATATTGGCTACAATGCTGCATTAGATATCTCTTCTTTTTACAAACTCGACTGTTGGAGCAAAAGACGGCTGAGGTGAAACTCCTTCACTTTAAAAACAAATTAACTCCATATTGCACCTTTTTCTTTTACTTCCCACTAGCACTGGTTCCCAACCAAACAGTCTAAATATTATATTAATCTTTTTCTCCCTGACAAGTAGAGGTGCATCTCAGTTAATAATTATAATTATTATAATAATAATATCGCTGAAAAGTTTGTTTATTCCACTAGTTGAATTTAAATTGTGAAACTCAGAGATTAATTACCCATCCATGTATATATTTTGTATATATTTTAAGCATTTATCAATGTGATGGATGCACAAAATCCAATATTTTTATCTCAAGAATGCTCTCAAACTTTTTTCTTTCACCAAACTTTCCATTAAAAAGCTACTTGATAGTCCTGTTTGCACTTTAAATGTTAACTATGTTAAAATCCATTCTTTGAGGGAAGGTTATGTGCTGCAATCTAAATGTTTTTGTAAGACCATGTTAAGTTTAAATTTGGAAAATCTGTCATTTTTGGCCACAACAATCACAAAAAAGTCACAATAAAATCCTGGAGGGACTCACTATAAGTGTATATAATAAAGAAATCTCTTTCTCAGAACATTTGAATATTATATATTCATGGAGCGCTGTAGTTATGCATTTATGGAAAGTTGAGTGGAAGGAAAAACCGCATTTGTTTGAGAATTATCAGAAACATTAACGCATCATTATAAATAAGACAAGAGTTTCACTTTGAATTGAAATACTGGAATAAATAACCAATTCAAGGACTTTCTAATTCATCAGGATGGATTTCTGACCCACGTTTTCTAAAATTTTTCTGCCTTTTCACTCATGACAACTAACAGCCTGCCATAGAGTTTTACACAAAAATAAACTGAAAGTAAAATCAACCTAGCTAAAGACATTCTTACAAATCTGTCAGATCTTCTTTTTTGTCACTGTGTTTAGGTTAATCCCTTCGTTCGTTCTTGTATTTTTATTACATTTTTTTGGCGTATGTTGTAAAATCAGCAGCTGTTGAGGTTAACACGGTGTTAAAGTGAGAGGATAAAACCCGATTAAACCTGCACACGTTTTCAGGTTTAATACCAGAAATAACGGTGCTGATTCGCTAATTTGATGGTTTTGGGGTTAAACTAATGTAACACCTCATCAGTACACATCGTTTTTTTTTTGTTTTTGTTTTTTCTGATCATCGCTTCCTGAGACAAATGGAGGTTTCCACTGGTGTGATGAAGTTGATGGGATGGCTACACAAAGCAGGGCACTAAGGTCAACCAAATGCATAAATCGTCATGTTTCAGCCCGTGATATGTTTCAGAACATAGCCGTGTGGGAACAAGTGGAGGTTCCATGCCTATGTTACCCACGATGCACTGCGGTATCGCTCATGTCGGATCGTGTCTTTGTGTGTGAAAGTCTGCCAGGATGTGAGAGACACAGAGGAGGACAGGCTGAGGGGGGGAGGGCGTTGGCACGGTTTGGTTTGGACTCAGTTCTGCTGCAGGATCAGGTTCTCCAGCTCGTCCGCCGAGCGGAGCAGGAAGGCCGCGGACTCCCGGTACCCGGCGATTAGCTGCCTCACCGCCGTCACCTCTGGAGGGCTGAGCTGGGCGGACGCCCCGCCGCCGCCGCCACCCTGACCGTGACTGTTGGAGGCGGAGGAGGACGAGGAGGATGAAGAGGAGTTTGGGCCGACGGACTTCATGCTCAGATCTGTGGGACCTGCGGAGTTAACAGGTTGAACATTCGACAGATATGAGACATTCATATCATTACATGATTATCAGCTGAATTGTCCAGCCCTATTTTACATCTGGATGAGTTTTTTTTAAGAGCTTGGTCTTTTTCATGAAGAACCAGAGACTCAAATGGAAGTATAAAAAGGTGCAAAATGTGAAATTTGCATAAAGTTCACGCATATTATGTTTTGTTGTGCTTTTCTTAAGTCCTACAGTTTTGTTCCTGGAGTATTTTGAGTAGCTGATTGTGATTGGTTCTGTTTCATCTAAGAAATACTCTGATTGGACGAAGACAATCCATCTGTGCTGCCATTGTGGTTTATTTACATAGGCTTTCAGTGGTGAATGCAGTTGTCTGCATGTTGACAATGTAAAATACCCGTCAAATTTTGAATCTTTTTGGCCTTCTTGTTGTTCCATAGAAGCCACAGGGGAGCATGCCAAGCATTTATTTATCAACAAAGTGCAGGATATAAACGCTGAACACCACAAATTATTATTTGTTTACATAAATATATGCGTTCACATCTGTTTCACTGCACAGTTAAACTGGTGGTGGAAAGAAAACGCCTCAGAAATGCAGTTTTAGGGCAAAACTGCATGATGATGTCTAGTTATCCATATTCACTGCAGGTGCAAAGCCCTCACACAATGCCACGATAAAAACACAGAATAATCTAAACTTTAGTTTGAGTACACTTAGTCTACACTTTGTTGCCTGGCAGGATGGTAAAGGAAGTAAGAACTCTATCCACTGCTTTAGTGGACGATAATACTGCTTCTACATCTAAATAAAAACTAAAGCATTTCGCACATATTTACTAGTAGTGAGTATAAATGTGTCAAGCGTTTGGAACAATTTATTCCACACATCTTCAATAAAGTAGATTTCTGAGCACATCGCTGGCAGATGGAATTAAAAACATTGCCTCAGTGGGACATTCTGGCATTTATCTGCGTTCTCTTTGACACATCACATGTTTTTTTAATAGCTTTATGTTAAATCTTTGTGTTGAATCATTTAAAACTGATTAAACATTAAAACTGCGGATGTGGTTGAAATGTGAGTAACAGTGTGAGCAGGTGGACAACGAAAGCAGTAAGACCTGAAATATGTGAATGTATATTAGTTAAATATTAGAGCATGCTGGGATTTATGCCACAGAAACTACATGAAAGTAAAGTTGGGCTGAAAATATTGAATATTTAGGAAATATACTACTGTGGTTATTATTATTTAATCTTGCAAGTTTGAAGTATAAAGTTTAAGAGAAGAAAACAGAGTTTATTCATCACCAATTTGAAACTGAACACTAACAAAATAATGGATTTTATGGACAAAATTTGATAAAAATTTTGAGATAAAGAAAGTCAAGTCAGATCCAAAGAATACTAACATGCATGTTCAAATATCAAGAACAGGACTGATGGTTTTGTGTTGAATCTTCTTGCTCAAACTCTAATTTACTCCCCTTGTTTCAGTTCACAGCTTTCAACTTAGAATTAAATGGCATCTTAAATCTGTCAGATTTCCTGTACAAAATGGTGCAGGAAGATATAAATTTGCATATGTCTCCATTAGAAAGTTCTACAACTCTTGAACTACTTAGTTTTCATACAGCTCTTGTTCATTTGAGGCTTAACTCTCCTTTTCTAGAGAGCGAGAGCTCTCACCATTGCAACCAGCGACTCAACATTTTCTCCTCTCTGATTATCGATGTAGGTTCGTCTTTCTCATCCAGACAGTTTTAAAATTGTAGAAGCACTAACAGAGGGACATTGGTGACATTTGAGGTCAGAATTTCTAATTTTTGAATGAATTGAACCAGGCATTAAAAAGTTACTTCTCAGTCTGCCATGTTTGTTCGTAGATCTGGACTCACCATTGGTCTGTGCAGCACTGGAGCTCTGCTGGGTGCTGCCGACTGTCCCGTATCCCCGCAGGTTGTAGTTGAGGCCTCCGTTGGTGTAAAGTTGGTCTTGGGCAAAAGCTGCGCTGGCAATAGTGAACCCTGACGGCGCCACAGGAGCTGCATCCCTTGTGACGGGTTTGTCAACAGAGGCGGTCTCGTCCTGAGAGAAATACACTGGTTTTCAATTTGGGTGGAACAATGCACACAGATTATGCATATTATCACGACCATCTGTTAAAAAGAGTGACCTGTTGATGCTTGGACTCTATTATAGACATTATTTCCTGTTATCATTTGCATGCAATACTGGAGGGAATAAAGACTATTCTTTTATTTTCATCCATAGCGGCGCTGCTGCTATAGAACAAATCCGTTAACAAGATAAAACCTGGAGGTGTTGGTATTATTAATTTAACAAAGGGAAAAATAAGACAGAAAACCATTAAATAACCTGTATTCTACTTTTCACATAGCAAGCGACTGACAACAACTCCACCAATGTATCAAGATCAAACACCAAAAAACACGCAAATATTTCCCACCCAAAAAGAACTGAACGTTCAGTCTGTTACAGTTTTATGTTTTCAGCCTTGATGTTTATTTTGTCATTATTGATCAGTGATCATCTGAACACAGCGGTGGTTGATTAGCTAATCAAAACTAAAGTAAACTGTTCTACTGATCTGATCTGTCAGAGTTGGTGTGTTGGCCGTCTTTTTTCTAACTGAACTGAAACACACCAAACTCTGCAGCACATCTCCATGCTAAGGTTGCCAATTCAAGCATAGCATAACTGAGCTACTTCCCTCTCCAACACTATTTTTTCTTAATTAAAACTTTAACTAGTTGTCATAGAATTGACAAGTACTAGCAAAGCACTGTGTCCCTTTTTCTTTTAAGAATCACACATACATTTAAGATTTATATTGACAGCTAGAACCAATGATAGTCATTGTTGGCGAGCAGCAGAAAGTTGCCAATTATTTCACTTCTAAGATGGACAAAATTTGTTATAAGTGAAATAATCTGCCAGTGCAACTAGTATTTTTCATCAATGTTTTTGAGTTATTAACAAGTTCCTATGTTTTACTGGGGTCGTTTTGTCTTACCTCAAGTGCACTAAGATATTTGCACAAGAAACTACACCAAAAATACTTTTGCAGTGAAATAGTAATTTCCACCCAACAGCCATCCTGTCTCCTTCACTTGTGATTGGTCGTAAATGTTTCGTCTCATCGGTGTATGTGCATCGTTTGTTTTGTGCAGTTTTTGGTTACTGATGGTTGTGCAGTCTCCTAAATCCCTCCTGGGTATATTCAGACACTCCGCCTGCCAAGACGTTTACCGTCGGTTGGTAGACGTCGAGCCGCATCCTCTTGGCAGCATTTCGGGTTTCGCTCTCACAGGCGGCAGCGAGGATGTTCTCAGCCATGGCAGAGGTGAGGTGAGGGGGCGTAGGACGGATCTGCTGACATGTTTGGCAGCATTATTCATACTTTTTCATATCAAGGAGTTTAATTGGGATGACAACTTTTCGTTTTCTTTTTTTACCTCGAAGCCGCCTTTTTTCATGCGGCGGCAGGATTTGAGGTAGGTGCGGATGCGCTTGCGGGAGCGCTCCTGGAACTCCGGGAACTGGCGGCTGCAGGACTCGATGATGGCCTGGATCTTCTCCTTGGGTTGCTTGGAGATGGGCACCATGCGGTCCAGATTCTCATCCACAAACAGACGCACAAACATCTGACAGACGCCATGAGCAAGGGGGAGGGGAGAGAGAGAGAGTGGAGGAGAAAGAATGGAGAGAGGGGGAGCGAGGTCGAATGACGGGTAGGAAACAAAAGGCAGAAAAGAGGAGGCGGGGATGATGGGGAGCGAAAGAGGAGAGGCAGGGGGTGGAGGAGTGGAAATAAAGTCAGTGGATAAAATCTCTGGCGTTTGCTTTTTCCCTCACATTTGCATTTCCGCAACTCTCCGGTTATATTGGTTTTCTGAGGCTTGTTCAGGCTCAGCCAGTAAATCACACAAAGCAAGCAGAGCAGTTTGGCTTGCATTTTCCATCTTTGTATAATACCAGCTCAAAGTAATAACACATTTCATCATAGGACACACAAACAATAAGGGTGTCTTCACACCTCACAGTATGTAGACGCGGTAAAACTGGTGAATGAAGTTGCAACATTTTTGCATTTTCTGCTGCTGTGATTTGCTTTCACGCTGCATTGAGTCAGATGAACATTTGAAAAACCTGTTCCCCTTCTTGCCTCTGGGGGCACTGCACATAGAACTTCTGAAGAAAACATAATGAAAATCTCTGAAGAAGACACTGAGCACAGCTTCCTTCTTCACAAAATGTAAATAAAGCAAGAGTAGCATCAGATTTTAGTGATTGTGGGATTCCTTTTCTGTCTTTGGTAAAACACCACTAACTATTTCTCCAGTTAGCAAAAGACTGTTGAGTTTGTTTTGGTTGTATTTACCCAGAATGCCCTGTGCTACAGTTGGTGTCCTACTTTTGGAGCAATCTTTGGTTCACATCATGCAATCAAACCAGGACAGAGGTTTTCAGGTGGACCAGATGATTCCCCAGTTGATATGGCAGACATGTTTGGCAGGATCAGTTTGACTGGATACTCACATTGAAGGCTTTGAGTCTCTCAGGATCCATCCCCTCGGCGTCATTGATCCTATCGTTGTCGTCATGGTCGTCGTGATCGTCGTCATCGTCGTCGATTATTTGCGCCCGACTGGAGGTCAAGTCCTCAGCGCTCATGCTCAGCTCTGTTTTCACCAAGTCATAACTCCCTGAGCTGTAAGGAGGCGACTGAAGACAAACCAGAAGGATGCTATTGATTAATCTATTGATTATTCTGATGATAAATTGATAAACTGGATTAAAAAATTGGCACATTTTGCAGATTTTTTATTTCAGTCTTTAATATGAATAAAAGCTGGACAATAAATTATTTATAATATCTCTATAGACACATGATCAATATTTATAGATAATATGTCACTAAACTGGTTGATTCAGGCTGATTAATCGTTTCAGCCCTGCTGTTATTATAAATTACAAGCGTAGAATGAGCTCACTCAGAGAGAAGCTCGGTTTCCTCCTCACCTTGTTGGAGAACTCTGTTTTGATGGGGAACTTCTTGTTGGGTTCTGCTGCGTAGCTGTTCGGCGGCGAGCTCCCGGCCGGCAGCAGTCTGTCGCTCAGATTCACCGGCTGCTGATCCTCGGAGGACGACGAGGACGAGGTGGTGCTGAAGTCCAGCGGCGCGCTCAGCCCGTTCTCTGCCACCTCCCTGTATGAAGCCGCGCCATCTTGAGGGTTCGCACCCGCAGCCAGCGCCTCCGGCGAGGTCAGGGCCGGCAGCCCGTTGGCGCTGCCGCTCTCCGAGGAGTCATCATCTGGCAAAGAGTGCGAAGACGCAGCAATGAGCTGTGTGAATGCCTTGTCATCCTTTAGCATTAATTCAGCTTTGTGACAGAAAGCAATGAGGGGGGAGTTGCTGCAGGGGGAAGGGGCTTCCTGCCTCATGCTGCGCACTCTGGATTTGTAAAGGAAGCGTGCATTAGGGTCAGCTGTCAGGATAAATAAAAGCTGAAGTCGAAGGAGGGAATTTTATATCAAGGAGTGAAATGAGGAGAATTATGATTCTTAAGATAAGTGAATGTATTTCACAATATTTATGCTTGTTTGACCAATGAATCACTTCCACCATCCTGAAAATAATTTCCCCCGTTCCGAATATGTTTATAATCTGGCCTTTGTCCCACTTCCTAAAGCTGTGGACCCTAGAAGCGAGGGTCCATCCGAGAAGCAAGCACCCACTGAACGACTGGATTTATCTGGATTAAGAAATAGGCAAGCTGTTTCCTGCACAAAACCAATCCGCACAATCTGTACCACACACATCATTTCTACAGCAGAAGAGATATTAGTAAAGATGTAAAAAAAACAAACAGCTGGTAAAGCAAAAACGATTTGCAAGATGTTTACATTTGAAAAGTTAGACCTCTGCAAAAACACAAAATAATTTGGGTTTAGTTTCTAATGCAAGTGTTTTACTGCACTTACAATGAAACAAAACTAACTTAGAAGTTAGTTTTCAGCACAAAATAGGAGCTTTTTTTATGTGTTAATTCATTAATACTTGTGGAAAAAATGACTGCTTCCACAGGCAGATTATTTCACTTATAACAAGACATTTTCCCCATATTATATGTGAAATAATCTGCCTTTTTCATCAACATTAAGATATTATTTACTTAAAACAAGCTGTTATACTTTGCTGAAAAGTTATGTGCAAGTGGCTATTAATTTACAAAAGCATTTGGCAGACTGGAGAATTAGCTTTTCTTCAAAAAGTGAACATCATTATTATTATTATTATTATTATTATTATTATTATTATTATTATTGTTATTGTTATTATCTCTCCTTATTTTGCCTCTTTTCCCTTTCTTCTCCATCTGTGTGATTTTAAAATGTATTAATAAATGTAATACATGCTTCACTCTGCCGTCTTACCGTCCTCCTCTTTGACAATGGCGGCCGGGTTGCTGACCCGCTCCCCGTTGGGTGGGCTCGGTTCAGGCACTGCTGGCTGCTCCGCTGCGACCCAAGCGGGCTCAGCGTTGTTCATGTCCTCGCTGCACACCGAACTGTCATCCTGAGGGCCGATCAGGCAGCAACTCAGAAATACAACCAAATATTCACTTCCGGTCTTCTTTGCAAAAAGTAGCCAAAGCTTAGTTTGATTAAATGGAGATCAGGTCTGGACTTTGACTAGGACTTCAGCACAGACCAGGACATGATTTATTCTACTGCTTCTCTAATTATAACAGGTTTTCTTCCAGTTCTGGTAGATAATTTACGTTTATACATTAGAAATACATAAAAAATATGCAAATAAACACATAATTTAATACCTTTTTTAAATAAACATGTTACTGCCCTTCCTTCAGTGAACACTTGCTCATTTGTAGCAAGAATGAAACATTATTCTAATGTCAACGTGAAAATTTAACATTTTTACAGTGAAGGGCTGATCTTTTGGTGGTTTTTTGTGATGAACCAGTTAGTAATTGGATAGCAAAAGTTGCTGAATAGGAGATTTTTAATACTGAATTTGAATCAGGTAAATTAAAAACTATGTCACAAGGGATTTGCAGAAAAAGTTTTATTTTTTTAAATCTTAAATGCAAAATGTAAGTACATTTCTTTTTTAAGTTGTGGCTTAATTACTGCTCTGAGTGTCTGTATACTTCAGTTCACAATTAATCAGTTACTAAATTATTTGGTGATTATTTCCATAATTGATTAATCACAACTATTGTGATTAATCGTTTGAGTCCTACAACTTTTTTCTTCAAACTCCCTTGTTTTACTAAATAATTGTTCTACAATCCCATTTTAAACATAATAAGGGGAGGATTGATCGACATATTTGATGTGTTCTGATGTTTATAGTGATGTTTGTTGGTAGTTTCTCATATTGGTGACTGTATGGTGTTTTTATGCCTTTTTAGTTTTGTATTTGTGCGATTTAAAGCCCTTTGAATGACCTTGTTGCTGAATTGTGCTTTAAAAAAAAGACTGATTTATTAATACAGGCAATTACAGTAAGAAAATATTTCAACTCGTTTAATTTAAGACCAGAAATAGAAATGTGATATTTGGCTTTCAGGAGGATTAGGAGAATGTCAGAGGGTCTGCAGGAGTCTCGGTGTTAACTATGTTTCTTGGAGCATTGCTATTTTTAACTCCCTACTCAGAGTCCCTGAAGATGCTTGTTGTACCGCAGCAAAAAAACACGAGTCCATCACTGTGGTAAGGATTTGGAAACCAAGCTAAATAACTCCAAATCTGACCTGACCTTCAAAAATACATGACAAGACCAAAAACAAAAGCTTCTTCAACATGGGAGGGAAAATGGGACGGTTTGCTCCCAAACGACCCGCATTCACTCTGTGTCAGCTGGCGTCTCGCTCACAGGCAGCGCAGTGATGACTGTGTGACTGGAAGGGAGCAGAAATGCGTGCAGTCGTCTCATTCCCCTCACACGAACAGACAAATAGGCCCGGACCCTTGGGAATACGAGTCCATCCCGCTCTGAGAGGGTTTGTGGCGGACTGGAATGCTCACTGACGGCTCCATTAGGCACCAAGTGAGCCGTGCAGGATTAAGGAGAGTCTCTAATCACAACGACTCAACATAACATTAATATACAGGATTTGGAAAAATCGACAGCTGATACATTTGGAAAGGTTAAGATTATAGCATCCTTTGCACATGAATCACAAATATTCCATGTGAAGTAAATGATGAACAATGTAGTATGAAAATATTTCTCCAAAATTTCACTCTAACATTAGTTTTCTGTGTCACATCTCAATCTTAAATGCATCGATGAGACTTTTCCAAAGAAAAGCTGCAGCATTCTGAGCTTTAAACTGCATCCCTCCATGTCTACTGAAATGCTGACATCCCACCTTGAACGCTTAGTTGTTCAAAAACTGTCCCATTAAAACTCAATGATGGGAATCGGTTCCCCTGTACTCACCCGCAGACCCCAGTCCGGCTCATCCTGGCTGTGTAATCCTAACTGTTCAAGACTGAGGCCTACACCATCATGACTAAGTGCTGCTTCTCTGCACTTCAGTGAGAGCAGTTCTTGAGTGTTTCTGTCACAGCGGCGACACGTGGGAGGGCCTTAAACACCTGACGTCACTGTCATAAAAGCTTCCCTAAATCCTCTACACATCGCTCCTCCTCCCAGCAGGAGGGCTGCTCCCCTCGTTTAGCGTTCAACCCAAAGTTAGAGAGGAATCGTCTCTGACTCGGCTGCACAAAGACTCTTCTCTTCCCACACCTTTACAAAAAAATAAACCTAAAGACTTTTATTTCTATACATTTTGCTGCTGCATGTGCAGATTCACTCACCCTCTCAGTGGCTGTCATGCACTGCAGTTTCATCTGCTTCAGGTAGGTGGCAGTAAGAGGCATGTTGTAGTCGATGAGGTCGGGGACCAGCGAGGTGGGTCGGTCGTTTTCTAACAAAGAAAAGCAGCAAAAACACACATCTTCCATGAATACAGAGTTAAATCACTCTATCAGACCTGGGTGGTTACAATTAAGTAACTTTTTAGAAAAAAAAATTAACTTTTAAGAACAAAACTGCAAAAGCAAAAAAAAAAAAAAAACATTTTGGTCTAGTTTCTAGTGCAAATATCTAGACAAAACTAACTTAAAAATAACTTTTCAGCATGATAGTATCTTATTTTAAGTACCTAATTATTTAATATCAAGCTAGAGTTAAATTTTAGTGAAATATCTTCATACTACACTGTTTATCAGTTCCACTGGCAGATTATTTCTCTTATAAAAAAAACATTTTTCCTGACTTATAAGTGAAATTATCTGCCAGTGGAACTAGAACCTTTTCATCAACATTAATGAATTATTTAAAAACAAGTTCCAATATCTTGCAAAAATGTTACTTGTAATTTAGTTTTGTCTTATTTCAGGTGCATGAAGTTATTTAACAATACTTGGTAAGATTATATGCTTTTCATCTGGTCATCTCCTACATTGCTATTATTCATTCTCTCCTGTTCATACGTCGCAAGCCGCATTTAAAATTGCACAAACTGGAATTGTTAAATAAATTTGCTTAATGAAAATAGGCTAATGTTGGAAAAGCTAATATTTTTGAGAATACTTAATGGACACGAAATTAAGCTGTTGACGTCTCTGCTGACCTCACACATCCTGGACACAAGCTTTTCTTTTTTCCTGGCTGTCTCTTTTTCTTTATATATTTTTGGTTTTTCCACCAAAAACAGGACAAAAGAAGGCCTTTCATTTAAAACACAACTGAAAGTTTGGACGCTGCTGGAAAGTTTATTGGGTAAAGAAAAAACAGATTAAATAACAAATTGCTCTGATTTTTCTGCTGTAATTTAATGACATTGATAGGAGGATTTTTTTCTTCATCAATAAACATAATGAAATCAGAAAAAAATCTATTAAATAAAAAAAGAATTTTTTTAATTTAAAATCAAAACACCTTTGCTGACACAACTTCATGAGACACACAGCACAACGACTCCCAGACAGAAAAATAAACTTGCAGTCCAGACCTGCTGAACCTCTGAAAATGTCTTAAAATTTCACAAAAGAGCAAAGGCAAAACCCACAGAGGCACCAAGCTGCTGCGCACCAGAGAAACACTTTGCCTTGACGCTTTTCCTCTCAGCTCAGCAGCAAACACAGCCTAAGATAAGTGTCTGTTTACTACAGTTCAGGAAGCATTTTAAAGGTGTGTTTGAATTGTTGGGCAGAAATTCAACCCTCTGTTGTCAGCCTGTCACACCTGGAAGGAAACAATGGCGCGGCAGGTTTCTGCAGTTCCCACTCCGGCCACTAGAGGGACTCTGCGATCAGGTTTGAGCGGTTCAGACAATCCCAGCGAGCCAATCCTCTTGAGTCTTTGTTACATCATGTCAGTGATGGATATACGCATGTTTTATTTAATGGGAGCTCCATTGAGAAACTATTCAAACACATTAGATTATTCCAGCTCATTTTAATGTCTGACAGGATGATGAAGAATATACACTCCATGCTGTTAAGGCATCCTAATAGAGTAAACACACAGAAGTCTGGTTGTATGATTTATTGCTGCATAATTAAGTGATAAATGCGTCATTATGTGAAAGAATTAACAAAGTTGTGTGATTGGTGTTAAAAGCAGAGCGGTGTTTAATGATGCTTTTACCTTTGAACTCTGCAGTGCTGGGGTTAATGTGCATCCTCTTCTGGCACTCTCCGCAGCTCATTAGGAACCGAGTCACCGCCTCTCTGGGCAGGAAGGCATAGGTCTCCGCTATCTGCGCGGGGGAGAAGCGACGGTTACTGCGGATGAACTGAAACTGGGTGAAGGAGGAGGTTTTTTTCCTTTATTTTATGTTCGTGTGAAAGTTTGGGTTCAGATTTAGGTGTTATCTCAACATGACACGGAGAGGAATCCTCCCTTCAGGCCGGAACTGGAGCAATCCGGCGACCCAGTTCCGAATCCTTTGGGTTTGAACACTTTTACCTCTGCAAAATTGAAGCACTTATCACGGTAAGTTTTCAAACGTTTACAGCACCAAACTTTGGATTTAAAAGCAATACAGCTGTATTAAAGAAAGACACGTTCAATTCGCAGCCATTTATTTGTTCCTTGCTGAAACGACTTATCGAATAATTCGATATGGGTTTTTGTTTGTTTGTGTTTTTTTTTTAGTTGGGCGGGTTTTAAACTGACAACAATCTGGCAACCCTGCATGTATTCCCACCGGATAATTATGTGTGTTGCACACCGCTCTCACTTCCGCTAATCAGTCTTCCACCAAGGCTAAGTGCTATTAGCATAACACAAACGGCCTCGTTCTTGTCAACTTTTCACATTCTGTACAGGATATCAGGGGGATTTAATTAACTGATGAAAATACTGATTTTTATGTACATTTCTTTTGACCAGTTGGCTTTGAAATAGTATTATCATCGGTTAATTTTCTAAACTAAAGGGATGCGTAAATATGAAAAATTTTATGCATTTCTACAAAAGAGATAAGGTGAACTAATAAATGTTCTCCATTTTTTTTATCTTGCCTAACTTTTAATAAAGAGATCAACAACTCATTAAGAAAGTGAGCAACTTTGTAATATACACCTAATAAATTTTCTATATTTCAGTTAAATACAGAAAATGCAGACTAGAAATAATTTTTAGTCACTGTTTTGGCGCCCTTTTTGCGCAGCGCCCCCTATATGTGGCATACTGTACATTCTTACTTTTGGCGTCACTGTGTTGAGCCATGAAGAGTGCTAAATATTAATTAAATCGTATCAGGGCAAATTATTTTCCTGCTCAAATTAAATTCTTAATCACAATATACAAAGAAAGTTACCAAAAAATCTCTAAAAGATGATCTGGCATTATGAGTTCCCCTCTGTACCTTTGCCCATGTCTGTTCCTCCTCTCTGTTCCCTTACTTGTTGGCTTACTTTCAAAATAAAGGCCACAAGTGACAATAATCTTTAAAAATTAATAGTTAAATTAATTCAGTTTTCTGGCATTTAGCAAATATAAATAACTATGGAGAATCTAGTTAACCTAAGACACGTCTCATTAAAAGTCACTCATTGAAAACATTTTTATTAACAATATAAGAACGTTTTCCAGATGTGGGCCTTTAATCAAACGTTAGATTGCACTTTATTACAAAAATGTGCAGTTTGAATATGAAGCACTTTCAATGACTTTTAACAGAAATCAAGCACTTTCCAAACCCTGAAAACACCTCATTAAAAGTCAAACATTTTCAAGGATTTATACCCTGTGTTTTCTCCATCTTCCTCAGGTGCATCTCCTTCCCTGTTTTTGTTTCCGCTGCTTTGCCACCCTCCCCCGCGTTAGCCCCCTCTGGCGTTTTCCTGCAAAACGCGACCTTCACGTGACCATGGAGAAGGCGGCGGGGGTGCCCACCGTCCCGTTCAACCCGCCTCCCTCCCTCCCTTCCCGGCCCCTTGAGGCAGCGGGGAGGGAAAGGCCACCCAGAGGAGCGTGCACCTCCCAGAAGGCCACAGTGACAGCTCCATATTATGCCCTGCCCCAGAGATGCTGCCTCCTCAAAAGGGTACACTCTATGAGACGTGACAGGACCTCTCTACAGGGCAGGAAGATTTTTTTTCTTTTTTAATTCCTGGTGGAGTAGAAAGAGAGGAGGGGGTACCCTGAACAACCCCAATACTCCCATCTGCACCTCCTGGAAACAAAGATCTGCTGCTGCACTGTATGGTTGCATGTCAACACATGCAACCATAAGACCACAACTCAGTGATTTTATGACAACAGACTGCCTTTGTTCCAGAAATATGGACTATGTGGCACAAAAAAAGCATCATAAGTACTTTGTTTTTCTGCTGGTTGTTCCCCTGGTAACTCCTGATGTTATAAATGAAACATTATTCTCCCAGAGCTGGTCTTATTCTCTGCTTTAAATGTGAAAAATATCATATAGTTCACCGCCGGTTCCACGGTGGATTAAAAATGGCCTCCGTTGCAGTGGCATCTTCATATTTTAACTGGTAGTCTTGCTGCGAACTTTTACAACCATCATCTTTCACCAAGGAGCATTAGATAACCGGGAGACACATAACTCCACCTGGAGGAGAAGATTGCTGCAACGACTTATTAGGACGAAAGGTTGATGTTGCTCATATTTAATTGGTGGTTTTGATGTGGTTGATATGGCTCTCCACTCAGGGCGGTAGAGCCAGGGGGAGAGCAACAGGACTGCTCAATTAAAGGGCTGTTGAATTGGTTTTAAAGGGCCAGAACCACATTTGATCATCAAGTTACATCAACTGATCTGGCAATGTTGACCTAGATTCTTTAGAAGATAAATATATATGCATATATTTAAATATAGACAGCTGTGGATAAAATTAAGAAAACACTTAAAATAGTCAGTTCCCCTCATTTTACTTCTTATAGGTTTATGTTTGAGTGAAATTAATATTATTCTTTTATTCTATGAACTTCTGACAGGATGCCTCAGAAATTCCAAGCAAAAATTTTGTTTTTATTTGCAGAAAATGAGAAACAATGAAAAAGATGCGGTTCTTTCAGATTTCAAATAATGCAAAGAAAACAAGTTCATATTCATTTAGAAACAACAAAACTAAAGTTTTAACTCAGGAAGAGTTCAAGAATAAACATTTGTTTTCAATGGGACTCTTATATTTTTCAGAGCTGAATTTAGGAATGTCACAGTAATAAATTAATATTGTGAATATAATATGAGATCATTTTCCAGTAATATAACAATAATGCCTTAATAATGCAAGAGCACATTCTGAAACATCAACAAGCTTAAAACTCTAATAAATATTTAGCTTTGGAAGTGGAAGAGATTTTAAATATACAAAATAAATAAAATAACAGAGACAACATATAAGAGGAATTAGGAAGTCGCTCTAAGCAAAATTGTTATTAAAATGAAAAAAAAAAATTATTTGAGACCAAAGCACCAGATTGAAGAGTTTTATCATCCAATTTTTGGTAGAAAGAGAGAAAAGAAAAAAAAAAACAATACATTTTGCAAATGTAAATTATTGAGCTTGTTTTCATTTATCGTCTGATTAACTGATATATTGATTATTGGAACATGCCTCTAAACCTCAATAAATCAATACCAAGTGCTTACTATGAGGTGATTCAGATGAAGCTAAAACTGTGCCACTTCAGAAGCTTTGGGTAAAAAATATTTACAAAATTGTTTTTATCCTAAATCCAAAATGTTTGTATGTTTTGTAGCATTTTGGCCTACTTACTGCCTTAACGTTGTTGTTCTTTCAGCAAATGGCCTTTTCCTGTATACTCCAGTTAACAATTAATTAATCGTTAACAATTATTGACGATTATATAAACAGTTAATCATTTCAGCACTGGCTTCAGCATCAGAATTATACATACAAACTATGACATTTGAGTCTGTGTGTTTAATTCTGTCCTTGTATGTTTTTTAAATTCAATTCCTTGTGTGAAAATGAGGGCCTTGGCAGGGAAGTGAGGTGCAGGATGTATGGGGCACCTCTAAGGCAAAAATCTAAAAATTTTCATCTTTGCACGACTATTTACATACTTTATAACAAAGCAGTTCTCACCCATCTTTGAATTTTATAACATTTTCCCTGGATTTTACATCTTCAAATGTGTTTAAAGAGAGGCTTCAGGTCTGAATTTCATCAGTAAATTCATATAATTCCCTTCTGTCCCAACTGGGTTTGCATTTAGAGATAGTTGGCAACTGTTTGAGTAAATCTTGTAGGTCAGGAAATCGTCGAAGCTGGAAGATTGCACATTTTTTGTGCATGGACAACCTCTTATTTTCTCCTGAATGTTGTTTTGAATTGTGCACCTGCAGCCAACTGGGGCAGGATGTGCTTACTGTCCTGTTTTTCCATCAACGGAAACCGAACCACTCATATTGAAGACCGCGGATGGGACACAAGGAAGCAGAATGTGAATGTGCAGTTGATTTTAGATCCATGACGGTGTTTTAACTCACCGCTTTGTAGGTTTTCTTCTGCCCTGCGTGTTTGGGTGCTCGGCCCGGGTCGGCGCCCATCTCCACATGCATGGCATAGATGATGTCAAAGAAGTCCTCGACAACGGCGACCCGCTTCAGGGAGGAGTTGTCCTGGGCCGAATTGCCATCTGAACACTGAAAATGTGAACAAAAACAAGAGTTCAGTTCGTACTCAGGCCTGTGGTCGGTGTAAATTTTGGGTCATATCAAGATCATGTATGTTCTACAATGCATTGAGAAAACTCATTAACAAAATTGATCAAATAATGAGCCGTTCTCTCTGCATCTGCATCACATTCTTAAAATTTAATATTGAACATGTTTTCACATTGTTTTTGTGATTTTTTGAATCAAAATAATTTTTTTCATCCTGAATTAGACATATTTCCACTTATGTATAACATAAAATGTGACTTTTAGTCACTTTCTATATTGACCACAAACTATAACTTGGCATCAAGTAAGGCTGAAGCAAAAGTGTCACAAAAGTAAGAAATACCGCCACCTACCGGTGGGAGTTAGCGGTCATAGAAATTTCAATGAAATTTTATAGATTAGTATGAAAAAATGCAGGGATCTATTGATGTTGAGTAAATTTTAATGATGGCAAAAACTGGGGAAACTTATGTAATTTGCTGTTTGCGGTCTACAGGTCCGCATAAAAAGCTACAATGGGCCACATTTGGCCCCCGGGCCATGAGTTTGACACATGTGTTCTACGTTATGTTGCACAGGACACAAATGCGAAACAATTTTGTTTTTTGCCCATATGTTGTAGCGTTTTCGTTTATGTTGTAGCGCTTTTGTAATTGTGTTTTAATTTGCTGAAGTGGTTTGAACCTCAGGGCCACCGTACATATGTGACCCATATCAGTCTGGACGGCTCAACTCTGATATTTTCACCCCCCAAAATCTGGACGTGAACAATGGCTGAAAATTATAATTATGTTCTTATTAAATATGTTCGTGTCACTAAAGCGCATTAGAGTCAAATCGCTGCTGGTTCCGACTATATATAAGCAAACTTTCCTACAGAAGTTGAAGGTAATACGCCACAAAAAGCCGTTTCTTTTGAATAAGTTGTGAATTTCTCCCTTGGCTTCATTCGTGATGTGACCTAGACACGATGCTGCTGAATAAACTTTAAAATCGATCCGTAGACGGCGGAATCCAGTATTACTTCCGTAAACAGTGCGCTGCTGAGTGACGTCAGTGCTCTTCTTCTGCGCATGCGGGGCGCTTTCGGAACGTCTGATTGCGGTCGGGTTTTATTAGTAGTATGGACGCAAAAATTACAAAATAAAAATAAATTAATTTACGCAACAACAACAACAAAAACTGAATTGAGTGTTAATTTCTCTGTAAACGTCACGTTGTAGACACGTGAGTCATACGTCATGCGGACAGAATAAAGTGTAAATAAAGTGTTGAGATCTTCTTCTTCTTCCCTCATCCTCGGCTGGGTCCGCTGCCATCCCCTCATCTCTGCCATGTTTAAAAATAACACCACTGACACGGCTCTAGACCAGCAGTCCCTCCTACCACCACCTCTGGCAGCCATCCTGCCTCCCGTACTGCTGACCCTGTCGCCATAGAAACTGCCACTGATTTCTCCCGGGCAGGTGTGCCGGGCAGAAGGTCACGTGACACGCCGCCAGGACAACAGGCTCCATCCGCAGCACCACATGGGGCTCTCAGCGCCTCCAAAACAACTCCTGGGTCCCATCGTTGGACTTTCGCTCTGCTTAGATGTAAAACTAGCTTAAACTAGCGATGTTTAGAGCAATGGATGACTGGAACTCACTGCCTAAAGCATTAAACTAAGTCCATGACTTAGTTTAAGAAACAACTGACTATATACTGTAAAAATACTTTAGTTTGACCCATTCAGACCGGATTTTTATCTACAGGTATTAGTTTTAATCAGCAAATTATTACCACCTTCATTGAAATAAAGATTTTCCAAGAAAGTTTGAGTTTATGCAAATAAAAAAAAATATTGTGAAATCACAAATAAGCTATAAAATGCTTTTTTGTTGTTGTTGCATGGTAACACTAAATAATTAGGCTAGTATATCCCAACTGCTGATGTCCACGGGGTTGGACATTCAACTTTCCTGCAAAAATCCTGCCATTTAATAATAAAAATAATAACTTAAAATTCTATCAATGGATATACTTAGAATTGCACCAAGAGCAATTTTATTAGGCTGCAATGCAGTAATATTTGTGTTTTTGATAGAAAGTAAACACTTTCTTCTCAATCTCTAGTTTCAGTGCAATTAAAGTTCACTTATATTGAAATTAAAACTTCAGTGTTATTGGCTATAAGAAACTAATCGGTAAGAAGTGTTCAAATTTATTGGTTTATACTCAGAAATATACATTATGTCCAATCCAGTGGACGTGGGGTTTGAAGGAGTTAATATTTGTGTATTAACATATTTTCCTATCTTAATCCAAAGCCTGTCTCTGTCTTTATAACTTCTAGAAAATTATTTTAATTCACATTTTGCTCATTTTTGTACTTCCATTTGGATTTCAGCAGCTTCTAATAAAGGTCTAAGTGCTTCTAGAAACCACCCAGCAGATTGTTGGCGTTACGTTAATGTTTTTTGGTGTCTGGACAAATAGCATTTTTAAAGACCTCCATTGCGTGGTTACCTAGCAACCCCAGTAGAGTCCAACCAGTTACCTAGCAACTAAGGCGGAGACCCAGCACCTTTGGTCAGCTGGTTTTACCGCTGTATGTGCTTTACAATGAATGCTGGGAAAGACAAATGTTTTTTTTGTTGTTGACCTGCCATTTAAAAACCACTTGTTGCATTCTTGTTGGTTGCGCAGGAGGCTCCACTTATGCTTTTCAAAGATGTACAATTCTGTTTGCAGCCATTTTCATGTGTGAGTGTAAATGTTGAGTTTGGGGGGTGATGCGTGGCCAGGAGCAGATTATTGGGATCTGAAGTGACAAGAGACACTAAAACAACTTATTCTGAAAGGAGCTCAAAACAGACTAAAATCTTATTATCTTAGAATCATTTTGTTCATCTTTTGCATGCCGACCTATTGTAACCTGTACAAGGAGACATAATTGGTCACCTTTTCTACTTTATCTGTAGTAGGCTATGACTTTTTTTCTGCCACTCATGTTTTTTATGTAAGTTGACCCCAGGAAGAAGCTGATGCTAACGGGGATCTCAATACACATCTCACATGTTGATTTTTTTCAAGCTGTCCCAGCAGGTGCTGAGCTTCGTAAAGTGCTTCTTTTCCCTCAAAATCTCAGATGAAAACTGACATCTTCTGGACCCAAGTTGGAAGTTGCGATTCTGAAAACTTGTCCCATCAAACATGCTAACCTCCCGAGCCGTCATCCTGCAGCGGCGCCCATCCCGCTCGTTTTCTCTTCCTTCCTTCCTTTCCTTCCCCTCCACCAACACCCCTCTCCTCCTGTTCTCTCCTCCCTTCTTGCTCCTGCTCTCCCAAGTGCGAGGTAATGATCGTTACCATGGCAACTAAAACCAGCTCACAGAGCGAGTTTGTTTTTAATCTGGCCCTCTCTCTCTCTCCGTAGTACTCCCCCCATCCCATCCCCGCCCCCGTCCTGTCAGCACGGACCGCCGCGTAATGATAATAAATGAAATAATAGTGACCCTCCGCCTCTTCATCACAGCTGTAATCTATCGCTCTTGGAGGTATCATCATCTTTTTTTCCCCCTGTGACATCACCGCCGCTGCCGCCGCTGAAGCCTCTGCTTCTGCTCGGGACAATGGTGTCAGGTCCATTCACGCTGGATTTGGATAATCTCATACGACTGTGGGGTGTGCGGTGCACCCACATCCCTGCTGCTGCTGCTGCTGCTGCTGCTGCATCCCTCCACCAAATATTACACATACACACAGGACATTCAGCTGGGAGCATTTTCTCTGACCTCAATCGATACGCAACACTCCAACCCTGCTGGTGTGGAGTCAAGAGATGGAGACCAGCATCTTCAACGCTTTTGCAACTTCCTCTAATAAACCTGCAGGAAACATTATTCTCAGAGTATCTTGCTTTTGTCTGCTGAAGAATAAGAGATGTTCAGCTTACTGAGAAAACCCTAAATGAATGAATACATAAGATGTTTATTGAGGTATGGACTCAACTTTCTTGAAGTAAATGAAATGCGACTCAAGCTGGCTCCAGCAACAATCAAAGGAAAAACTACAGTCATTTAAAATATACATTTTACAGGGCAGTGGAAACAAAAACAAGTTTTGATACGAACTCCTGTCTTTAAAACACTCTTAAGCCATGACCACTAAAGCAAGTATGTTTGTATTCCAACAGGAAATGACATCATCATGTTGAAAAAATTTACCAAACAATTAATACAACTGGTAATTAAAAATCCAAGTCAAAGATGTTAGAAAAAAAACACAAGAAATTAAAACAAAATTAAATTAAATTAGGAAAATAAAACTAAATGAAGAAATTAGATAAATAAATTAAGAAGTTAATGCTTCATCACTCCAAAACAACTTGATGCAAAAATGTTTATTTTATTTTTATTTTTTTGCACATCCTTGGTTGATGATTCTGTGTAGCTACTGCCACCTATTGGTTTGGTGGTGAAACTGTATTATAAAATAACACTGGAACTTTAAAACAAAACAAATATTAAAGCTGTTAACTTTTATAAAGATATGGTTTTTAGATGTCAAAATTATAACTATGTCCTGACACAAATAACTTGTGAAAGAAAATCCAGCTCCTTCCTGACAGCCGTCTGTAAAAGCTCCGCCAGAAACAACCAATCAGAGCCAGGGGGAGGGTCTTAGCGCTCTCAATCACTCTCATGTACAAGTTGCAGCTGTGCTAATGGTGGAGAAACAACCTAATATTCCAGTACGAGCCTGATTTTATTTCACAGATTATCCTTCTCATAATGTGAAAATTAGTTTACGTTATGAAGTGAAACCACGGTAACAATGTATTGTTTTTACAACTGGGAGGAGCTGATTAGTACCTCAAAAACTGAAAACAAAACCTTTTCTTCGTCTTCTTAAGTTTTATAACTTATTAAGAAATGCAAATGGAAATTTCTAAAACTAGTGACAAATTTCAAAATTAGAAAACAAGTCAAAACATT